TCAGACCTTGTCACAGTCCCCCCCAAAGTCAGACCTTGTCACAGTCCCCCTCCAAAGTCAGACCTTGTCACAGTCCCCCCCAAAGCCAGAAACTTGTCATAGCCCCCCCCCACCCCACCAAAGGCAGACCTTGACATAGTGCCCCACCCCCAGCCGATTGTTGCTTCAGCCCAGGCTGACTCCAAGGCACGCCCGCCGAGGCTTCCCAGCCCCCACCCCGGAAAGAGGGGTCATGTAGGTTCTGTTGCCTCCCTCCCACACAATGCCCTGCAGCTGAGTGTTTGCTTTGTAGGCTGTAGGGGGTATTAATGCGTTTATTTTGGGACATTAACGCCATGGGTGGGATGCACATTGAAGATTATAGTAATAAAAGATGCTTTGTCACCCCCCCCCAAGCCCAGTATGAGGTGAAGGCAGCTGCAAGCTGTGTGCTGAGTGCCACAAATAACCACTCACTGAACTGCAGCCCATGATGGGGGACCCGCTGGGGCCTTGACTCATGCACACCTGAGCCCCTGGCCAAGCGACTCTGCCTCTGAGTCCAGTGGGGGTGCCGCTCTTCCAGGGAAAGGGGGTGAGGGGCTTCAGGGAGAGGGACAGCCTGGAGCTGGGGAGCTCTATTTCTCTTGGCATATGAGATGTAAGGTATTCGGATTATTCTCCACATATGAGGAGAAGGAATGTGTGTGTGCCGAACCTGGAGTAAGGATTACTGGTTCTATTTCTGTTATTATCTTGAGGGTGACCTTGAACAAGTCTTTCTGAAGCTGTTTGAAGACTGCAGCTGGTTGCTGCGCTGAAAGAATTGAAACGGTTCCAATGCGCCTCCCAAAACAGCAGTCTAGGGTCTTTCAGGGGCTCTAGGGTTCGCAGAGGCCTGTCTGTGGTCTGTGGGCAGTGACCTTCACTTACCATTGGGGGAGAGGATGTCAGCAGGGAGAGGAGCGCCCTGGGGGGCTGGAGCCGCTCTGTCTCCTCTTGGAAGCAGATGCATTAACTCCTGTCTCCCTCACTTTCTGTGCCTCTGAAGCAAACGGAGCTTACAAAGCCGAGGTTTATGTCAATGCAAAGGCAAGAAAGAAAGAAAGGAAGAAAGAAAGAAAGAAAGAAAGGTCTTTGGGGCTCATAGTTAGGATTTTTAGGATTCAGGCCCTTTCTCGGTTTCCATGCCCTGGTCTGTGGTACGGGATCTGAGTGCCTGGTCAGCAGAGCTGCGAGGATGTACGTACGTGATGTGTTTTCACTGCCCAGCATCCAGGCTGAGCAGGGTGTGTGTGGGCATGTATGACGGGCTCCTTTGCTCCTGCTGGTTGCTACTAACCTGTGAGCGCTCTTCAAAGAGCCCAGTGGGTGAGGAAGGGGAAATCTCGGTGGTTTACCTTCCCAAGATTAGTTCTGACTTGCTGCTTGGAGCAGAGGGAGTGACACTATCTTGCCTTTTCTGGTGACAGTGGTTGCTGTGGCAACATCATTACAGATGAAAGAGACAAAGGAAGTAAGAAACACAGTCAGAGAAGGGGGCGGGGTGAGTGGGGCCCGGAGCTATTGGGCAGTCATTCCCCAGTAATGGCCACGGGGAGCCACATCTAAGGAGCTCCTGCTTTGACTGCTCCTGGGCGCTATGCCAGGACAGTTCTCACAGAGGGTCCTGAGGCCAGCCCCTGACTCACGCACTCAGCTCTGTGAGACAAGGCGGGGACGTGAGCGGGCTGTTTGCTCCTGAGCACTGGCCTTCTCCCTGCGGTCTACATCTCAAACAGATGTGTCTCTGTCTCAGGTTCTTGGAAATGAAACAGAATTTACGGAGGTGCTGTACTGGAGGACCCCTCCGGTGCACCCTTAAATCTTGGGGTGCTTCCTGGACGCTCCAGGGCTGCAGACCTGTCAGTTGCTTACAGAATACAATATCTGTCCAAGCAAACTGTTCTTGGGCCATTTACTGGAGGTGTGGAGCCACTGTCAGCATTTTGGGGGCTGGACATTGGGAAGGCAGGGATGTTGTGATTTCCGGGGTGATTTAGAGTAAAAACAGACCAGTCCTGAAACTCCCATGTCAAGGGCACTTAGAGCTGTCCCCCGCTCACCCCCGCTCAGTGAGACGTGCTTGGGGTCCCACGCTCACCCACACTCAGTGAAATGTGCTTGTTCAGCTGTGTGACTCCAGGTGGAGTTAAAAGACGTGGGCGCTTCCTACATGAGCGTGGACTCTGTTCGACCCCGGTGCCACCACTCCTAGTGTGTGACATTGGGGAAGCCACAGCCTTGCTGTGCTTGGGCCTCTCATCCGCAGAAGATGGACAGCATCTACTCAAAGGTTGAAAAGAACTAGAGGAAATATATATGAAATACCTACATGTGCTGAAATCGTGATTATTTTGAAGGAATGCACCTAGGGTTGAATATAAAAACAGGTCAAGTTACAGGACCATTTGCCATGTTGCTCCTCCCAGCAACTTCAGGCTTGAGAAAATTTTCATTCATATAAACAAATATCTATTGAGTACTTACTATGTGCTGTTTAGAGGTTGCAGTTACTGTAAGAGACACACAGATAAATGGGAAGTAGGGAATCTGGTGGCTGGTGAGGGTGGGGACGGGCAGTAGGACAGATACACGATGGCTGTGACGCAGGTCACCTGAAATAACACTCTCCGATAGGCCTTCCCCTCGTCCCTCTGCTGGTTCCCAGGCCCAGGGGCTGCAGTGAGGAAAAGCGATCAGCTGGCTCCTGGCGCCTTTCGCCGCCTCTGAACTAGCCCCGCGGGCGGGTGAGCCCCTCAGCGTCTGCGCACGCACTGCGCACACACACACTGGTCTCAGAAACCTGGATGAGGTGGCAAATACAGACAGCAGAAGTGCCCTTGTTCATCTAACAGGTGCTGCGTGTCTGTTGTGTGCAGAGGCCAGTGCTAGGCCCTGGGGATACGGTCGTGAGTAAGACAGACATTGCCCCACCCTCACGGGAACTCACACAGAAATGGAGGATGCAGACATTTCGCATCGAATCCCAAAATTATTACTTAGTTATGTGGTGAGAAGCACGGGTGCTGTGACACTGGTAATGGAGCCCTGGCCTAGTCTGAGCTTCCTCCAGGACGGCTCTGAAGGGTGAGTAGAAATTAACTAGATAAAAGGGAAGCCGGGCTAAGACAACCATGAGCCGAGGTCCTGAGGTGGGACGGGATGTGGCATATTCCCAAGAGGAGGTCGCTGAGCCATCAGAGGTGGCCCAGACCATAGCAAGACTTTTATTCTTTCTCCTCAGAGCCTTGGTGCCCACTTGAGCTATTGCGGTGGTCTATCGCACAGCTGTGTCAGGGTGGCAGCTGTGAGGGGCACGGATTACGGGGTATCGGGGACATAAAGTTAATGGGACCTGGGACTGACCTGGACATGTCAAGTGAAGCAAGGAAAGATGTTAAGGACAATTTCCAGATACCTGACCCACACGAGGCAGAACAGTGTCAGAGGACTGGGTTGGGCAGGTGGTGCTGACACACACAGTCTGAGCTCCTGCACTACGTGCATATGAATGAAGATGGGTGACCAGAGGAGGGGTCTGCCGTGGACGCCACATCTGAGTCCTTGGCACTCTGTGTGGTGCCACCTGCTACCAGCAGCTGTTGACGTCCCTGACTAACGATCAGCTTATTTACTCAAATTCAGTACGAGTGTAGGTTTTATTCCTCAGTGGCGCTGGCCACATTCCAAAGTACTGGACATCACGTGTGCTAGTGGACGCATATGCTGGGCAGCGCAGGACAGGACACTTGTATCACTCCAGAAAGTTCTATGCAGGGGTCTGCCCAGCTTTCTGTAAGAGGCCACAGGGTAAGCGTTTTGGGTTTGTGGGCCACGTGTCTCTGTGGCAATGATGACACAGCTGTTGTGGTGCCAAAGCAGCCCCAGATAATGGCAAACAGTGGGCATGGCTGTGTTCCAGCCAAACCTTGTTTACAGAAACAGGCTGCAGACAGACTTGGCAGTGACTATAATTAGCCCACCCGGTTCTATTGGTTGGCACTGGTAGAGATGATAACCGGAGTCATAGGTACAGATAAGACCATGAGGAAGAGAGAATAGAAGGGAGCCCCGCTCTAGACCTTGAGAGCCCCCCCATATTAAATGTTGGGCAGAACTGACCAGAAAGGTAGGAGAAGACTCAGGAAAACCATGGTGTCCCAGGAGCCAAGGAAAGGTGAGACGACAGAGTGTGGAGCGGCCCACGAGGTCAGGACGGGTGCCACGGAGCTTCGTCTTTGATTCAGCACCTTAGAGAGAGCACCTGGCACCTAAAGAAGAGCAGGAGTCAGAGCCAGGGTGACGGGCGGGAGAGTGCGTGGGAGGTAGGAGATGGAGACGGATTTTTCTGGAAGTCTAGCTATCAGAAGGAGACAGACTGAGGTGGCCGCACCCCCACCCCCACCCCGGCCATCTTTCTAATCGTTCCTTCTCAGTCTCTGCCGGCTTGTCCTCCTCTCCTTAACCCTTTCTCCCCATTTAGAAAATTCAGGCACAATTTACATGCACTAAAATGTACCTTTATCAGTGTCTAGTTCTACAAATTTTGACAAATATATACAGTCAGGCAACATGTATCTATACAGTCAAGATACAGAGCGGTGCCATCGTCCCCAAATTCCCCTTTGTAGTCAGCCCTGCCATGACCTCAGCCCTTAGCAGCTGCTATCTGTCTGCTCTCTCCATAGTTTTGCCTTTACAAGAAATGCCATATAACTGGAATTTTACACAATGTGTGTAACCTCGGGGTCTGGCTTCTCTCATTGACCACAGTGCCCCTGGGTTTCACCCATGGTGTTGTGTGGGTCAGCAGTTCATTTCCTCTTTGAATTGCTGATTAGTAGTATGTTGTATGGAGTCCCCCAGTTTGTTCATCCGTTCCTCAGCTGGCAGACATTTGGGTTGTTTCCAGTTCTTGGTGATTTCGAGTAAAGCTGTTATACACATTCACTTACAGCAGCGGTTCTCAACCTGTGGGTCGCGACCCCTTTGGGGGTCGAACAACCCTTTCACAGGGGTCACCTAAGACCATCGGAAAACAAAGATATTTACATTACGATTCATAACAGTAGCAAAATTACAGTTATAGAGTAGCAACGAAACTAATTTTATGGTTGGGGGTCACCACAACATGAGGAACTGTATTAAGGGGTCGCGGCATTAGGAAGGTTGAGAACCGCTGACTTACAGGTTTATGTGTAGACGTAAGTTTTCATTTCACTCGGGTAGATACCTAGGAGGGGGTTGCTGGGTTGTATGATAAACGTATACTGAAGAAACTGCCGGAGTAGCTGCCCATTTTGATTCTCCCCAGTAGTGTATGAGAGTTCCGGCCACTCCACGTCTTGCCCAGCACCAGGTACTGTCATTTCACAAAACCATTTTAATAGGTGCGTCATGGTATCTCATTGGAGTTTTCACTTGAATTCCCAAATGACTAATAAGGTTATACACTTTGCATGTGCTTATTTGCCGTCCATGTGTCTTCTTTGGTGAAGTGTCCAAATAAATTTCTTGCCCCTTTTTACAAACTGTGTTTATATTATTGAGATTTGAATGTTCTTTATACAGTCTGAATACAAGTCCTTTATCAGATATATGATTTGCAAATATTTTCTTCCAGTCTGTGGCTTGTCTCTTCATTCTCTTACGAGTGTCTTTCAAAGAACGGTTCTTAATTTTAACGAAGTTCAATTTATAATTTTTTATTTTATGGATTGTGCTCTTGGTATATCTAAGAAACCTTTGCTTACCCCAAGGTTGCAAAGAATTTTTTCCCCTATATTCTCTTCTAGAAGTTTTATAGTTTTAGGTTTTATTCCCATTTTGAGTTAAGTTTTGTATGGGGTACAAGGTATAGATTGAGGTGTTTTTTTTGTGTTTTTTTTTGCATATGGCTATCCAGTCATTCCAGCACAATTTGTTGAAAAGATCTCCCTAAACTTTAATATTGGGGTTCCTTGAGGCTTGGTCCTAGACCCAGTTCTTTGCACTCTAATGTTGGTTGGAGAAGGAATTCAAATTGAAGCAGGCTGGTTTGTTTGTTTGTTTGTTTGTTTGTTTTTAAGAGAGGGGGAGGTTTTACGTAGAAGAGAGTGAAGGGAGTCCATGGTTGAGAGTCCTAGAAGCGGGAAGGAGATTGGGATGAGAGTTGGATGGAAGAACAAGACATCTGGATGCTGACAAGTGCCCTGGGAGGAGGTGTCGGACAGGGAAGAGGTGCTGCTGTCACACCGCTCTGCGGGAGCCCAAAGAAAACAGACCCCTGGGCCAGCAGGCTTCTCCTGGTCCTCCTTCCCCATGAGAAGGGAGGGCCCACAGCTCTGACGTGCCGAGGAAACAAAAGCACTTGTGGGGAAATGACAGATACCCGAGATGACAGCATGGAACACTGGAGCGCATCGGGCTCAGAGGTGATGACGAAAGGAAGGGAGGAAGGTCGGCAAGGAAAGAAACAGACCTCTGGGGAGGCAGGCGCTGTGGGCCTCCCAGTAGCTGATTAGTGTCTGGTGGTGTTGAGAGCTGAGAGACATTGAGCCCAGCGTGAGCAGTGAGGCTGAACTGAACGCAGCTCCAAGCCCCTTGGAGACTTGGCATAGCAGCCTGAAGGGACGCAAGGGGCCCATTCGAGATGGAAGCCAGTGGGATGAGCTTGCACTTGGAATTCTCAGGATCTGCTAGGGAAAGGGGATGTTGCTGTGTCAGAGCCCCCCCTGCTAGCACGTGGCCCTGTGGACGAAGAGCACACACACCGTGCTCAGCCTGGGGTGTGTCAGGAGGGCCCGTGCAAAGGTCAAGGTGAAAGCCAGAATCGGGGTGGTCAGGACAACAGGCAGAGCCACAGCTGAGTCAGTCAGCCTGGCCTGGGGTCAGGTTCTCACATAGCATGTAGGACTTCCCCATACAGGGAGGGCGGGACCCTGTTCCCACGCCCTGCGGGGTGTCTGTGAGCAAAATGGTGGAGACTGTGGGCTGAGAGCCTGGCCCTGAAATCCAGCCGCCTGACTGTGGGGACAGAAGGAAATCAGACCCCTGGGACTGTCCTTCCAATTTGGGGGCTGCTTTGCATGTGGGAGGTTGTCTAGTTAACAGCCTCACATTGGACATGCTCCGCAGGTGTGTGCACACACATGCTCGCACACACATGACTTCATGTGCACACACGCCCATGCCTTTGGCTGGAGATTAAGAAACATCAAGGGCCGGCTGAGTGGCTCAGTTGGTTAAGAGCTCGCTCAAAGGTTTGAGCTCTGAGCAACAGCGGCTCGAGTCCAGCCCGAGCTGAGCTGCTGCTGAGCTGCCAACAGGTGGCAGGATGGCTCAGCTAAAAAAAAAAAAAAGAAACATCAAAACGTTCAAGAGCGCGGACTCTGGAGTCAGATTGTTTTGGTTCAAACCCTGGCTTTGCTACTTCCCAGCTGTTTGACCTTAGGCAGCTTCACCTCTCGACCTCAGCTTCCTTCTCTAACATGAGCATAGTAACAAGACCTATCGTATAGGGCTGTTGTAGGGATGCAGTGTGTTACTGCGTGTAAGTGCCTAGAAAAAGGGCCTGCACATAGTAGGTGTTCTATCTGTGATGAGTAGGAAGATAAGGTGAGGTGGCATTGTGCCCCCACCCTAGTTATCTCTGATCTCATCCCCACCGGTCTTCCCTCCCCCTTCCCACCCCAGCTGCATCAGTCTCTTGCTGGTCCTCAAACAGGCTGGTCACTCCTCCACCGCAGGGCCCTGGAAGCTCTCATCTGGACACCTGCCTCCTCCAGCTCTCGGCTCAGATGCCAGCTTCTGGAGATGCTCTCTGGGCCCCTCTGTGAGCTGCGTGGCATCATATCGACCCAGCACTCACCACCTCCCTCCTTCCCTGTCTCTTCCCTGTAGCACTTAATGGGATAAACATTTTGTTGGTTCATCTGCCTATACCCTAGAATGCAAACCCCCGAGGGCAAGGCTTTTGTCTGCTTTGTCCTCTGCACTTTCCCTAGTGCCAATGAAGACTTGGCGGGTGAATTCTGATGACTTTTCTCCCTCTCTCTGGCCTCAAGACACACATTTTCAAAAGACTAAGGAAAGCACCTGGTAATAAAAGGGCTTGAAAGTGATGGTGGCGAGTCGAAGGAGGTGGCACCTTAATGCTTCCTTGAATAGCAAATGTTCTGATTTTTATTTTCCAGCTTAACACCAAAACATCCCCAGCGACCAAGCAGGCACCTGGCCCGGAGGAAAAGGGTGAGTCGGCTTGGGCCAGGCAGTTTGTAGAGCCGGTGAGGGACACCTGGACATAAAGACAAGTATGGCTGTCAGTCTGGAAGCTCTAAAAGTCAGGTGTAGTCGGGACATGGGCGAGTGAAAGAAGCACTGGGTTAGAACTACTGTACCCAGGGCTTCGTCCCACTGCTTCCTTAGCAGCACCCCTACCAGCACTGACATCTGGTTTTAGAGACTGGCTCTGGAGTCGCTGGGCACAGATACAGCGACAGGAGGAAACTCATCATGATCCCAGCCACTGTTTCAGTCAGAAATTGAGGGCAAGCTGGGGAGAGTGTGTGTGTCCTGGGACTCCTGTAGGTGCAGGAAGAAGTGGTGAGAGGGGGGTTGGCAGCTTGGTGGGGAGTATCGAAGCCCCCTAGGAACCCTAGCTAATTCTCAGTCGAGCGGCCCTGACTCGACTTCTAGGGGAGTTACCGGGTGGGCGTTCCCAGGGCTAGCAAAGACAAGGGGGGGTGTGGGGGGGCTCACAGCAGGAAGTGGCCTTCAGCCCCTGCATTTGGGCCTGGGGGGGTGGGCTGGGCCGGTCAGGCGTATGTGTTCCTACCTTGGAACCACCTGCAGGCAAAGCCAGCAGTGCCAAGAAGGCCGAGGAGGATGAGGAGGTTGACATCGACCTGACGGCACCGGAAACGGAGAAGGCAGCCCTTGCTATTCAGGGCAAGTTCCGGCGGTTCCAGAAAAGGAAAAAGGATGCCAGCTCCTGAGCTGCCAGCCTCGCAGTCACCCTGCTCCTCTCCCCTCTCCACAGCCTGACTCCCATGTGTCTTTGTTTGTCCCTCTAGCCTGTCGTTAAGGCGAGCTCAACCCTTATATGTTGTGTTGTGTGGCCCCTCGAGCCATCACAGCAGTGGGGGCACAAGGACCAGAGGGAATGTGAGGGATTCAGAAGCTGCCACTTGCCCGGGGGCGGGGGGGGGGCAGCTTTTCCCTCGTCAGCACCTGGGCCTGCCTCCCGAGGCTTTGGGGCTGCGAGGAGGAGCCCGGGCAGTGTGATGGCGGGGAGAGCCCTCCGCAGGGTGCGTGCAGCAGTCACCCCTCAGGTAACAGCCGCTTCGCACCCTCCTGCAGCACCACCTCCAGCTTCCCTCCTCCGAGCTAGGCCACAGTGGGGACCGGACCCCCTTGCCCGGGCGGACCATGGTCAGGCAGCCTCCCGTCAGTGCCTGCTGAGTGCATGAGCTCCAGGGAGGGCGCTGGGGCCAAACTGCTTCCTCATCCGGGTTCGGAGCGTAGGGCAGAGGTAGGGAAGTGGGGGCTCAGGTCGGTGTGGGGAAGAAAGAAGAGTGAGGGGGGCTCTCTGAAGACACAAGCGACTGCTGGGAAAGCGTGTTATGTCAAGGATTCTTGGGGCTCTGCTAACCTGCCTACCTCTGAGCCCCCACGTCTAGCCATCCCCAGAGGCCACCCAAACCAGCGACCCTGTAGTTCCCTCCTGCTCCACTGTGGAGTCAGGCAGGAGAGGAATACCCGCTCTGTGTGATTTTAGCATGTTTCATAATTATATAAAAAAACCCTCAAGTGGGGTCATGTAGCCTCTACTTCTGTTTTTTCCTGGGAGGACTGAGTGTCGGCCTGAGCTGGCTGGGGCAGGGGGCGGGGGGTCAGCTGCATGGACTCCTTGGTGGGAGAGGGGACAGCACTGCCCAGGCACTTCTGCACAGGCAGCAGACGCTGTCTTCATCTGCTGTGTCACCGCCGCCGGCGGCTCACCTGCTAGAGCCTGTCCCCTCCCGTTCCCGCCAGCTAAGAGCACACGTGGTGTGTATCCCTCAGAACAAACCCAGGTTTCCTTGCTCCGTGTCCCCGAATGACTATGCTGGCCGTCCCTGCTGCTTTGTCCCCCCCACGCACACCTGTTTATCACACTTAGAGGGAGGAGAAGATGACTCGGTCACACTGAAGATGTTAAACCACAAATTAAATAAAATGACGGCTTTCAAGTGAGTTTACGTTGCTGAGAAATGACTCCCATGCATCGAAACCAGAGCCAAGTGCTTGAAGATCCAGCAAAGAATGCTGCCTCCCCGCTCCTCTCCCATCCTAGCCCTCATCCCTCCTTTCTTGATTCAAGAATACAGGAGTCGACGCCATGTGGCTGCTGTGCGTAGGGAGCTGGGATCATGTTCCTGGAAGGGGACCCACGTCCCAGAGCTTATCCCCCAGCCAGCCATGGCTCCAGGACATCGGGAGGATGGAGCAGTGACTCTCCGGAAGGCCTATGTCACAGGAAGTGGCTCCTGATGCCAGAGGAAGGGAGGAGCTTACAGTGGGGTCTGTTCTGAGTGCAGCCTGGTGCCGGTGGTGGCTTTCTGTCCTGGCCTCATGGGCAAATCGGAGGGCAACTCGTTGCCGCACCTGGTGTGGGTCCAGTGTGGCTTGGTAAAGCAGGAGCATTCCTGTCCCCTCGCCCCATGGACACAGCGTGGGGATTGCCAATCTGGCCTGTGCACATGGGTAAAGCAGCGCTCCCTGCTCCGCACCTGGGGGAGCCTGTCACCAGCTGCCCCGGGGGCTCCCCCACGCATGCGCAGTATCGGCAGACTGTTTCTGCCACAGACCTGGAGTGTGGTGCTGACATGCTTTTCCCTTTACTGGCTGTCACCAGTACTGGGCCTGGGGTAGCTCCATAAAAAGCCAGGACACCCCAAGGCCTGACGCCACCTGCAGGCTCTCTTAAGGTTCAGCCACTGATAAAGCCTCGTGTACTATGCAAGTTGGATGAAGCAGGGGCTCAGGGAGTCCCTAGAATGGGAAGAGTTGTGGTCACCAGGTTAATGCAGACTCTGGTTTGGTCCCAGTGCTGAGCCTGGAGCTACTCAGCAAAAGTCTCAGAGCACAGGGAGGCCAATCGCTGCCTGCCTGGGGCCTGTGGACTCCCACAGTTTCCCAGAAATAGTGCAATTCAGGCGGGGCTGGGGAGAGAAAGTGCCTCCCACTTTGGGGGAGTTGGGTAGGGCGGAGTCCCAGCAGAGTCAGCAGGGCGGAGCTGCACAGCTCACCGGGGCAATCAGATTCACATTTGGCCGTTCGGTAGAGGGCGGGCTCAACACAGGAAAGATGGTGCCCACCTGCCTGCTGCAGAGGACAAGGACACCTCAAAAGGAAAATGGTGACCATCCTCCAGCCCTTGCCACACTCCTCAGTCTGCCCCTCATATGCCTGTGATGCTCCCTGAGTCACTGTCCCCACGCTGGAGCTCAGGGTGCCTGTGAGCGAGTGAGTCTGTGAGCGGGCCCCTTAAGAGAGTGGCTGGGTTTCCCCACCGCCTTCCATTCCAGCTGGATGGTCAGAGTCCCCACTATCTTTCACAGCCAGATAGCCAGATATTGTGGGGGCTCCTCTTCCTGGCATCAGTACTCCAGGCTGGGGAGACTGGTGTGGGGCTGGAGGTCCCTCGCTTCTCCATGGGGAACCCCTATGGCTGAGATATCCCTCCCAGTTCTCAACCGCCACATGCAGGAGTGGGGCCTGCAGGTACGGGACCAGCCCATTTCGCATCTCCACCCCTCCTATCAGTCTCGACACTGCCTCTTCTTTATATCCTTAGTTACAAAACTTCTGTTCAGCTAGACTTCAGATGGCTCTCCAGGTTGAATGTCCTATAATTTAGTTTTATATGTTCATGGAAAGGAGCAGGCCCAGTGTTTATCCACTTCACCATCTTGGATCACTGTCCTCATACATATTTTAAAGGAAGCGTCCTATAGCCAAAACAGGCCGTAGCTTTGAGAAAGCCGGTCTTCATGGGAAGAAGGGCTTAGGTGTCTGCAGAACCAGCAGCAGTTCTCGGTGAGGGCTCCTCTCCACCCAGCTGCTTGATTCCACTACTGGGCACTCGAGCCTCCTCTCTGATGCCTACAGCTCCCCCTGGGGCCCTGGAGCCCCACTTCTCTCCCCTGTCCCTCTAGTTCCTGCTGCTGGGGACACAGTTCTGAATACTGAAGACTAAGAAATTGTTTTGTTTCGTGAGCAAAAACTGCAAGTCTTCAGGGGATCGGTGAGTGCTCTGTACTGAGTGGTTTGCAGAAGACACAGGCATAAGGAAGTCACGAAGAAAGCACATGCAGCTATCACATCTGTGTTACGTGTCACTCTCTTGGGGCTTTTTTGCCTGTTGGGTGGCAGAGCTGGGAGTGCAGCCCTGACAGATGTGGCGCGGTCTGGTGATCTGAGCAGGGGTATTTGGGATATGTCCCCAAAGCCCAAACTGGGAGATGGAGATCTTAGGAGAAATTCAGGTGGCTAAAGGGACAGGACCCTGCTTCCCTGACAACCTACTGCCGGACACTTGGTGTGGTTGACCTCTCCTTGACCTTGCCCCAATATAGAGCCAGCTTTCCCACTTGGGTCCGTTGCATCTCTTAACTCTTGTACTTAACCCTTGAAAATTCCCAGAAAAATTAGGCAACTGGAGATGGAGGCAGCAGTTTTTCTGGAAATGTCAGTGTTTATTAAACATTTAAGGCATTCAGGGGTCTGAGAAGAAATATACAGAATGTAGAAAAATCCTAGAATCTCATGGTTGGGGGTGCAGCTTCTTCCCTTTCCCCCTAATTCCCATTTGTTTTTTTCTCCCTTCTGTTTGCTTGTGGAAAAGCCATTTCTAAGGCTCCTTGCCCCCTCCTCACCCCTGGCCTGTGAGGACCCATTGTCTCTCCTTCCCCGTGACCTTGAGTCTCAGAAAAGTGCTCCACAGGGGTCAGGGGGCACCAATCCTGCAGCTGAGGTTTGAGGGTCAGGGGCACCTCTGCTTGGGCTGGCTCTCCGTTAAGAATTTAATGGGGGTGGCAAAAACCACATGACGTCATTGATACTCAGTCATGGGGGGAGGGCAGAGCAAGGGCACAGGTAAACAAACAGGAATGGATTAAAAAATAAAAAATAACAGCCTACATAAACCCTGAAGGACAGTCTGATCTGGATGGTCTGGGTGTTAGCTGGGAGGGCACAGTATGGAGCTGGACCGCCTGATGGAGGGCAGGGAGGGGCCGGGAGGACGGGGGCAGAGACGGGCTGGGTGGTGCAGGGGGTGGGGATGCAGGTGGCCCGGAGACGAGGCGCGGGGTATCAAGGTCCCTTTCTTCTCAGTGCCGGAGGGACAGGCACCAAACACACAGTCCTTGGGGCCGGTGCAGGGTAGGATCAGGCCCTGGGCTCCCAGAAAGCCAGGGGGTGGAGGTGGGGGAGGATATGATGTGCCTGGGGAATGAATTTTGGAATGAAACTTACATCTCGTAGGGATGAGGGCAGGGCGGGGCTGGGAGCTGAGGAGGAGAGCACCTAGACAGGTAAGAGGCGCCTAGGTCCCCCTGCTCGGGCAGGGCCTGGGGGCTGATCACTTGTCGGAGTCCAGGCCCATCATGTTCTTGAGGGCGTTCTTGAGGCTGGTTCTGCTGGGGGACTTGACAGCAGGCCGGAGCTCCGGGCTCTGCTCGTCCCTTCGGAGCTCCATCTCGATGACCACCACCTGAGCGCCTCTGGACGACTCCGCCCCTGGCCCCCGAGCCCCCGCCCGGCCCGCTAACCGCTATTTCTTATCCTTGCGAGACTCCCCCAGCCCCTTGGACTTCTTCTCACTGGCAGCTTTGGTGCTCCTGCTGTGGTCCAGCATGGCATACAGCACCGGCGTCTGGGGAGGGGCGCGCACGTCAGTCACCCGGCCCACCCCTCGCTCTGCCCGGCGGCTCCCAGGGGGCTCCTCCCCAGCTGTCCAGGCCCTGAGTCCCCGCTAACCTGCCGGCCGCGCTTGGACGTGTCCTTTCCAAGCTTGTGCAATTTCCCCTTCTCCATGGCACTGCAGGGAAAGGGGGGCTGTGGGTGCGGCCCCGCCCGAGCCCCCGGCGGGGCGGCCGCGGCCTCCCCCGCCCCCCGGCGGTCCCTCCCTCCCGCTGGGGACGCGGAGGGTCGGCCCCGCCCCTTACCTGAGCCTCCTCTGCAGCGCCGCCTGCCTGCGCAGCCAGCAGTACCGGACCAGGTAGAAGAGCAGCAGCAGCAGGAGCACCCCGCCCAGGATGCCCCCGATCACGGCCCCCAGCACCACTCCGTAGCGAGTGGGCACTGCGAGGGGAGGGGGACGAGTGAGGGACGAGCAGGCACCGAGCACCGCGCCTCTGCCCGCGCCCAGGAGCCCCGGCGTTCGGCCTCTTCCCGCCGCCGCGCAGTCCCCCCTGATCCCCTCCCCGCCCCACCTCCCAGACCGCCCCCCCAGTCCCGTCTCCCCTCACACCTTTTTCAAAGACGTAGAGCGTGACCTTAGAGGTCTTGCCCACTATGTCCGGTGGGTTTTTGACGTCACAGGTGAAAGTGCCATTGTCACTGTAGTCCAGGTTGTGTATGATGATGGAGCCATCCTTCCAGCGGGGGTCCCCCACCCACTGGATGCGCTCCTTGAAGGTGCCCACCTCGTCGATGTAGGGCTGTCCCTTGGCATAGTGGAAGATCTATGAGAAATGAGGGAAGCACGCAGCTCTAGTGGCAGGAGGGGTGCTGGGTTGAGGAGGGCAGTGCTGGGGAGGGGACAAAGATTGATACTTCCTTTGCCACAGTTGGGGTGGTGGCTCATAAAGGATTTCCCCCTCCTTAGCCCAAGTTCTCTGTTGTTCCGTGAAGCACCCTTTCTGTCCTCCAATCCCAGGATTGGCCAGCACTTACCGAGATGGCATCGCGGCCCCCTTCGGGCTGGTAGCGCCACGTGAAGGAGATGTCGTCTGAGACCCACTCGCTGGACCAGAAGGAGCAGTGCAGGGTCACGCGGGAGCCCACAGCGCCGTAGACCTCCCTGTCCGTGTAAACCACAATGGCCTGGGCCGGGCAGAGCACTGCAAGCAGATGGGGGGGGGGCAGACCCACACGTGGGCCCCATGAGGACACAGAGGTGAGCAGAGGCCCAGGGCCGAGCCAGGCCACTGCAAAGACTGAGGCAGAAATGACGAAGGCCCAGGTCTCCGGACCAGCTGAGCCTCTGAGTGAAAATGCTGGGTTGGTCCCAGCTCAGCAGGTGTTCACAGAGGACACGAGACTTCGTCCCCAAGTCTCACTTTCCCTTTGGGCCAGTATCTAACTCTTCAGCTACCCCTCAGAAGCGGGCTTTACAATTTTTAAAATGTATTATAAATGATGCAGGTAACACATCACATTCCTTTTATAAACTATTCAAGCAATAGTGGTAAAGTTACAGTCTCCCCCACCAGTTCTTTTCCTGTCATCTCCTCCCAGATAGAAGAACCCCAGTTATCTGTTTAATGTGTGGCTTTTTTTCTGTGAATCAAGCTCAATATAAACAACACACTCAAGATTTACAGGTACTTGTAAGAAATAGTTTTGTGGAATTTTCTTTTTTGGTACACATTGCATTATATGCTACTATTTTTTGCTTAAGGTGCTGGTGGAGCTTTCCATGGAAATCAATCTTGTTATTAACAGCCGCGTAGTAGTTCACAGAACAGCAAACTCAAATTTCTTACAGAAAAAACATGAAGATAAGTAGTGAACATAAGCCTTCTCCCGGCCCAGCTGTGTTCAGTGCTGAACCGCTGCGTGCTCCAGCTTGCTCTTGGCTGGGGGTCGGCGGGGAGGACCTCATACAATACCCAGGGGGAGCTGGGTGCAGAGCACGACCCCAAGCCCAGAGCGCAGATGACTGCATGGCAGCCCTCTGTCCTTCGGCCTCCTCATCCTCCTTTTGGCCGTTCTGGCCCAGCGCCCTTTCCGAGACTCACCCACACATGCACAGCCATTCCAGGGAGATTATGTGTGTGGGCCGGCCCCGGGTGGGGGCAACTGTAGACCCTTTTGTTCTACGGGGGGGGGGCAAGCAGCCAAACAGAGACCCATTGTCTGAGCAATGATGGGGGCTCATGGCATTCCCCCCATGGACCTGAATCTCCCACCTCAGCATGCAGCATCATCGACTCGCCCCCTGAGACCGCAGCAGTAGAGCCTTCTTGGGGATGTCCCAACTGTCACAAGGAAGGTCCTTCACTGGGTCTACCTTCTATTCCTCCTGCTCTAACACCAGCTCTGCCCGGCAGTCCTGTGACTGGCACTGAACTGTCTCCCTTGAACTCCAGGATGCCTGCCCCTCACTCCCTTCGCCATCCCCTTCTCCAACTCCCAATCCTTAACATTTTCTCTGGGTATCCTAGAATAGTTCAGCACAGCCTAGATGAGCCCAGGTTTGGGTTTGGGACTCAAGAAGCCGACAGCAGAGCAACCTTGGTGATTCAGAGCAGCCCACGCCACCCCCTCCCCCCATTTGCCCACCACTCCAGGGCAGTGTGGAGGAGGGCAGGGGCCATTCACACACCCTGTTCTGACCTTTTCTTGCCTATCCCGCCTCTGCCATGGACAACGAAGGGGTCAATCCATTTACGAAGGAAAACAGCTTTAGATAGACAAAATCCTAGAATCTCATAACGCTCCCTCCTGCTCTGTTCACCCACATAACAGACAATCAATCCACAGAGGGAAACTGAGAAACCAGGAGGCACAGGACCCGAAGAGCTGGGACCACAAACCTGAGCCCTGTCCTTAGGTCACAGTCTCTGACTTTTCTCTAAGGTCAGATACCTCCTGCACTACTAGGGGTGAACAGGGAGGGACCAGAACCAGGTGTCCTCACTCTGACATTACTTGCCCCAGACCCTCGGTGTGGCTCTGGGCTAGGTCACCTGTTTGCCACCTGGATCTAGTCAGGCTCCTGTCAGGGAAGCTCTCCATGCTCTATTCTCACTTCTCCCTTCACAGAATACCTTTACTGCCTCCCTCCAGACTCTGTTTTTCTCTGAATATAATGTCACCTTCCCACTGCTGCTCACTCTTTCTTTGACTGCACGGGAAGGTCGCCAAGGACAACCGGAGCCCCAGGGCCCAGGATGGGGTGGCTCCACTTACCCAAAGCAGAGAAGAGCAGCGCAGCCAGGACGGGGCTGGGGCTGGACCAGGCAGCCCCAGGAGCCATAGCTGGGGCAGGGCTAGGGCCCAGATGGTCTGCGGGGTTGGAGAGTGGGGGACAAGGAACTGAGCGGGGGGTTCCTGGAACCCGCTTAAAATCCCCCGGGGCCACAGGATGAGGGGGCAGTCCTGAGCCAGTAACCAATTGCAGCCTGGCATGTGCAGTTGAGAGGTGGTGGGGAGGGGGGCAGAGCGCAGGGAGCAGAAGGGGCATTGTGTCCTCTGGGTGGAGGGGTGGGGGACACATACCACCTTATACACAGAGGGCTTTGTATCTGTTGGCTTCCCCCTGCCCTAGGCTGGAATGTTGGGGGGGGGGTAAGGAGAGGGACAGAAAAATGGACACAAACACGCTCCTCTGAGGGGTAGATGGGCAGGGGAGCCTGAATCCTAAGGCCGCCGAAAGGGGTCCCTTCCCAGCCTCCTGCCTGAGGTGGCTCCCTCAGAACCCCATGAGCTAGAGGCAGGTACCCCAGAGCACGTGAAAACAGGGTGTCCGTTGTTACCTTGATGGCTAGAGGCTGCATTACAGGGTCCTCGAGACGACCAGCTCCTTTGGGAGTGTTTCCACCCATCACTCGGCATCCTGGGTGATTCTTCCCAGGTATATGCTTCTCTCCATTGGAAAATATTCAGGGAAGAATGCCCTAACCTGTGCCTTTGTCAGGAAATCCTTCTATGCCTCATGCTGCAGTTGAAGCCCATTTCAATTTGGAGCAAGTCAACAAAGCTGTATGAGGGCCAGCTATGTGTGATATGTGGGGGACAGGAGAGGAGTAAAAATGAAGTCCCTCCGTGAAGGAGCTCAAAATCTAGTTTGGGGAGACAGAGGGGGGCGGATCAGAGGACAAACCTGCCAACAACCAACTATAATAAATCGTGACGCTTACGATAGTAGAATGATGAACAAAGTGCGGGGAGTGCCAAGGGGAGGCACACAGCTGCAACGTCCGGGGCATTGTGTGAGTTATCTAGCAGATTAAAAACAAAAATAAATTTCACGTAATAAATGAAGTTCTGAGGAAGGGGCATCATGTCCTGAAGCAGTGTCAGCTGTGGGCCAATATTGAAGGGTGCTTGCCATTTTGAAAAGGAGGCATGCGGAGTGAGGTATCTAGGGCAGGTAGGAAGAAAAGCAAAGAGGTAAGAACGTGTGTGTGTGTGTGTGTGTGTGTGTGTGTGTGTGTGTGTGTGTGTGGTAGGTCTGTGACATGATGGCTTGGGCATGTTCAAGCCAGATCTGGTGCCACCCACTTTGACTTGATTTGGGGCAACCTGAAGGGGCATCATAGGGTAACGAGTCTGTGTGGGAAAGCTGAAGCCGGGTTTGACAGCCCTTAAAATACAGATTAAAGAGGGAGGATTTAATTTACATCCTAAGAGTTTCCTGAAGGTTCTGAAGTAGCGTTTAAGGTTAAAGATGGGAGTGTCTACATGGTCAGAGCTGAATTTTAAGACCAATCCAGCCAGAACAATAATTCAGACCAGAGCTCTCCTGATTGCTGCCTCCTTCCCTTCCCTGGAATCATCTGGAATGTTTTGCCTCTGTCTTCCCCTCCCTTCTTTCGCCCCAGGCTGTGGCTGCATCCTGCCTCTGCCTCCCGCTTATAAAGTGCTGGAGTGCTAACTATACATAAGATTTGAATGTTAATGTAATGAGCATGTTTACTGTAGAGCCGGAGCTGCTCTGGGCTGTCTCCTCACTCCTCCTTTCCCCCCGAGATGCAGAACTTCTGCAGTCTTCTGTTTCTCACTTGCTCGTTTTCCCCCTTGAGTCGTAAGCGCTCTGGAAGTGGTGGCTGCGCTTGGGTTCCTCAAAGCCGTTCACATATATTGTAAATGAAAGTGGGTTCTCCCCACCCCCACCCAGGTTCTTCTGGCTGTGGGTGTCACCCACATCGCCCCGAAACAAGGAACAATGGAGCGTTGTCTTTGCTCGGTGGGCGTCTAGCTCCCGCAGCAGCACCAGTCTAGGAATCGCGGGGCACGAAGCGATCGCGCGGGGACAGGTGGTCCCTGGGAGCGGTGGTCTGCGAGCTCGCCCCACCCCCGGCCCATTCTCGCACTCCCAGTGGGTCCCAGCTTGTGTGTCTCTGCACTGGTGAAGCTTCAGAGTAGGACGGGAGGGTGTCGGCCGGCCCACCAAGGCGTCTCAGCCCCCCCTTGGGGGTAGACTGAGAAGTCCTCTGTGCAATGGTTCGAATCACAGTGAGCATGTGCGCAGGAGACACGGACATTGCAGAGCTCCAGCCCGCGGCATTTCCGCCTAAATCCAGGCAAATGCTGGCAGAAGTCACCCAAAGCAACAAGGGAGGGGCGGGCAGCACACAAACCGCTGAGCGAGAGCGGCTCCCAGCCTTTATAGCGCCCGCTGTCACGTGACAGAGGCCCCGCCCCGCCGCCACGAGGGGCGGGGCCGCGGACGTCACTTCCGTCCAGGTCGGAACCCAAGATGGCTGCGCTCCTGCTGAGGTGACTTTCGTGTGGGGCTGGGAGTCGGTGCCGAAGGCCGCGGCGGCCCCCGACGACCCGCTGACGGCCGTGCGCCCCGTGTCTGCGCTGGGGAAGGGCCGGCGGGCGTGGAGACCGCGCCGGGGCCCCAGGGCCCCTCCCCTGCCCCCGCTCCGGGCGCTCCGGGGCCTTGGGGTCACGGGCCCGTTAGCTCGGTCCCACTTCCTGCGGAGGGGTCGCGCGGCTCTCCCCCTTGTGCTGCCCCCCAGCCTGGGCCCTGCCCACTGCCCGCCGCAGCCGGAGCCCGGTCATGAGTGCAGGCCGACCCCAGAGACATTGCGTGTTCTGTCTCAGGCCACCGCCGTCAAACGAGGGTCGGGCGTCGCAGTGAAGCCAGCAGTAATCTGGTTACTCGTGAAGGGTCTTGCCTCTGATTTTTTTTTTTTCTTAAAAGAAAGAAAAGCAACATCAGTGAAGTGCAATAAGCGGGGCGCAATAAAGCGAGGTACGCCTGCAGCTCTGAGCGGCGGGCGAACCGCAGGCGCTGCCGCCTCCAGACCTTTCGCGCTGGGCCCGGTGCGGGGAGACCTGGGCGGGCTTGGCCTTCGCCTCCGATGCCCGCAGACGCCAGCCGCGGGCTGTGCGTGGGCGCCGTCCGAGCTCCTGACGGCCCTGCCCGGCGCAGCAGGCCGGACCCCTGCCGGCGGGCCGCTGGCCGGAGCGCCCAGCGCCTTCCGGGGAACTCGGGAGTGGATGTCCCGGTTTTTCTCTCCAGTGTCGCTTCACTGTCCAGAGAAATAACGTAGATTTCCTTCCGTTCTGAACTGCCCGCTGTGTAGGCCTCAGGCTCTCCTCGGAGCCTTTGCAGCACGGCGATTTTAGGGACTTTAGAGAAGAAACGCCTGGTCCAAATCCCAGCCTAGTTTTGTGCCAGCCCTATTTTTGGAAACGATTTGTTATGGAAAGTTAGGTTTAAGGCCGTTGAGATGGAATTCCTGATTTCCCCAATGTCTTCTCATTCCTCTTTCCACTTAAGTCACCCAGTATAAAAATAGAGGGGCTTTTTTTAGTTTTTCTCGTGACAAAATGACCCCTTTGGAGTTGAGATGAGGAATGGGCTATCTTACGCCCTCGTGTTTCTCTCTGCCTCTCGTTTCCAAGTGCATCTCATTTTCTGAGGTGTGCCACGGCCAGTCTTGCAAGAACTGCCTCCTTTATTCCAGTTAGTTTGACCATAAATGAACGCTTTTGGATTCTTGGATATGACATATTTTGGTAGTGGTCAAGGGTCAAGGAATTAACATTTAGCTTGAAGTGATTTTATGGGCTCTAAACAGCTCTTTTGAGGAGTTTCAAGCTTAGTGTTTGGAAGCTGACCATCATTATACTCATTAAGTGAGTTTAGACAGTGTTATTGAGTCGTGAAGGCCTGTTACCACCAGGATTCAGTGCCTAGAAATAGGCTTTTCCATTAGTGGTGACCTGAAGCCCTCGTGGGAAGGGCACCTCTCTGTTCATTTCTCAGAAGAACTTTTATAGGAGGGCTTTTAAAAATAAATCTCCTGTGAATTTCCAGGTCTAGTTCGTTTCACTAGAGGAATTTGGAACTGTCTGTGATGTGTGTGTTTAACCTCAAAAGAAACTGCCTTCTAAGAAGTTCTAGGAGCTGGTTTCTAGTTCTAGAAGCGTCACTAATTCCATTTATTTTGAACAAGTCAAGGTCATTGATTCCATGATTGTGGATTCCTCATTCGTGAATGAGAAGAGTGATAACTTGGGCACACTTTATCAGAGTGCAGCGTGTCATGGCTTTTGAACAGTGCTCTGTACTCGTTTACTCCCTAAACTGTTCACGGGTTAGCCAGCGACGGATAACCAGCCGAGGAGCACAGACTCCATTGGCACTCAGCCGGGGAATGACTTGCCAAAGCCAAGACAGAGGATAGGGGACTGAGCTGAGAGCTGGTGTGTTCGTGCTGCTTGAGCGCCAGGTCACCGAGAATCACTGACCTCTGGACATTGCTCCTCGTGTTAAAGCTACGTGAAACACCTCCAGCATAAGTTGCAACTCTGAATTCATAGGGCTGCTTTTGAAAGTAAGCATACTCATCCACACACCATTTTCTTGAGCCTCTTGTGTGTCAGATATTATTACAAGTGCTATAGGTGCAAAGTATTCCAGCCTATCGTTGAGGAACTCAAAGTCTAGCAGAGGAGATAAAGAAATAGATTAATTATTAAGCAACATAATCAATGTATTTACGGAGATATGAGCAAGTGGTGTGGGTCATGGCAGGTGCCCCACATGGCAGGGTCAAGCAAGGCTAAGGAGATGGTGATGTGATGGTGCGGTCTGGGAGTAGCTGGGCTTGAGGGCTGAGTGTATCAGGCTGTGAGGCAGGTTCCAGCCAGGGAATAGTGTGGACAAAGGCATGTGGCCCCGAGAGGGCTTGCTCTGCGGGGGTGTAGTGTAGCGCCCAGTGTGGGTGTGGGCACTGGAAAGTCGGTCCAGAGAGTCAGCCGAGGCAGTGCTGAGAAGGGCCTTGTTTGGCTGTAGCCTGAACCTTATCCTCGAAACAGTGGGGACCGGTAGTGACTTCTGGGCAGCAGAGCAGTGAAATCAGCGTTGCTGTTCAGTACGTTGCTCTGGTCTTGTTGAACTGGGGAGAGGCTGGTGCTGGGATGACATCAGTTCAGAAGCTCCTGTGACGTCCTCGTGGGGAGTGAAGATGGACTGGAGTGTCCAGACCCCACTGGCGGCACTGGGTGATGCTTTGCACAATGTGGGCGGTGAGAGAAGAAATCCGGGATGACTTATGTTGTAGCTTAGGAGTTAGTTGGGGCTAATGACCATCAATCAGAGCTTTTGTATAAATGATTGATTATTCTTCATCGTGCCCTTCAAGCTTATCCATCTGTTTTAGTGTTGCTGTTACCCCAGATGTTTATGAAACTTTTTGACATACCTTCAGATTAAGTTTAGAGGTCACATAGGAGAAATTCATGTTACAGTCGCACCTTATTTTTTTATTATTTTTTCTTCTTTTAAAGATTTTATTGGGGAATTGGAGGAGGGGAACAGTGTTGGGGAATTTGGGAAGGGGACCAGCCAAGTTGTTGTTCTTCAATCTTCGTTGTGGAGGGCGCCAGTTGCCATCTGGCTGCCCGTCGGCAGCTCGTGGCCTCTAAGCTCAAGGTTCTGTGTTCAATCTTAGTTGCGGGTGGGTGTAGCCACCATCCCATATGGGAATCGAACCAGCCTTGTTGTTAAGAGCTCACGCTCTGTCCACTGAGCCATCAGGGCGGCAGCTCAGCTCAAGGTGCCCAGTTCAGTTTTAGTTGCGGGTGGGCGTAGCCCACCATCAAACAGGCAATCTTGTTACACCAGTTGAGCCATCCTGCCACCTGTTGGCAGCTCAGCGACAGCTCATCTCGGGCACAGTGTCACTGGCCCATGTGGGAGTCGAACCGGCGGCCCTGTTGCTCAGAGCTCGTGCTCTTAAGCCAACTCTTAACTAACTGAGCCACTTGGCCAGCCCAGTCACACCTTATTTTAGACCAAAAATGGTTTTATTCAGTGTGATCTCATAGACTTGGCTCTGAATAACTTTTATTTTTTTTCTAAAAGTCAAATTCATTTTCAGCAGATGAATATTTTTTATCACCATTAAGGGTTTTAAAAAGAATTTGATGCAAATTCTAAAGACCTTGGGACACCATTGAAGTATTAACACCCTCTTACATATGTGCGGTATGTTGCAGTTTAGAGAATGCTTTCCTGTAGGTTTTCTCAGGTGATCGCTCAGCAACCAGCAAGGCAGCTAATACCAATCCCGTTTCATAAATGAAAAGGAAGTTGCGCGTCTCATGCAGGGCTGGAACTGCAGCCTGCTGTCTTTGTCTGGTGCTCTTTCTGCATTAAACTTTCAGTCCGGAGAAATTTCAGAAACAGTTGGAGCAATGATTACATTTTTGGGGAGACGTGTGATGCATTTAGAAGGAGGCAGCACTAACTAGAAATTGTAAGTTCTGGCTTGTTACTTAAAAGTCCCCTCCTGGGTGGGAACAAGATCTTTTCAGAGCTCCTCGTTTCACATGAAAGGCAAGGCCATCCCTGCTCCTGTCCGTCACATTTCACAGGAGGTTGTGGACTTTGGGCCGCTGGTGTCTGGGGGGAGTTTACATTGGTATTTGTCTGGGGACAGTAGCACCAGACATTCCAGCCCACGGGTGCACATGGCCGGGGGCTGAGTGACAGCCTGGCCTGCTGGGAGGAATGTGTGCCCCGCAATCAGAGTCACAATGGCTCCAATTGAGTTAGAGGTTTGTTCCCACTTCTTTCTTCCTGGGAGCCTTGGGCACACAATGTCTGCATTCACCTCTTGCTCCAAAGCTAGAAAGAGGGAAGAGCTGAAGGAAGCGATGGTCGGATTATTTTTCCTGCACGTTGTGGGCCCTTCCCGTGTCTTCATGTAAAGCAAATGGTTCTTGAAACGGTTAGGCATCTACTAGCAACGGGGCGAGGGACGTCCTTGGACCCTGGTGAGGTCCGTGTTCCCACAGTGCCGTGCGCATAGAGGAGGCACAGGAAACTTGTAGAATTGGTGTGTTTTAATTTTAGTCCCAGGGCTTCATTGTGATAACTTTCTTAAGTGCTTTTGGAAAGAGTTGATAGAATGTGAGTAAAGGGGTGCAGTGGTCACGATGCTGAGTGAACCCTGGGTCACTTAACGCCTCTTCACATGGGCTGTCTAGGCACAGCTCAGTCTTCGACCCGAAAAGCAGGTCTGGTGCTGATGGACACATTCAAAGGTGTCGAAAACTAGGTCTTTGCATGCTCACGTTTTTCACTTTTTTTTTTTTTTGAACGTTTTTCACATTTCTATAGGAGAAACTTTTTAACTTGAATTTCCTCCAGGTTTTCTGCAACGCGATGGCAGCTCCCAAAAGGAGAGCTTAATATTTAGCACCTCCCCGGCCCCGACGCCGCCTGCCCCACCACCACACATACACCCTGTTCTTTAACCATTCACTCCTCCAGCTGCTGCAGGCGTCTGCTGAAGCTCAGCTGTGTACTTGGAGTTGCCAGCAGCTTATTCTGTTTTCTTTTTTTTTAACTGGTGTCTTTTAAGACCTAGCTTTAAAAAGTCTCTTTATTTACTTCTCTATTGAACATTACCAACTCTGATTATTTCTTTACCTTGTATCACTTGTGTTCAGCCAAAATTTTATTTTGCATTTGTAGGTAATATTTGTGATTATTCTCCAGGTATTTAAAGTTGTAGCTCTCCAACTAGAAAAGGATCTCAGGGACACGATACTGTCATGCTTCCATCTTCTTTTTCATTTCCCTCCACCCCTAAGTTGATGACACACAGGACAGAGAAGTTGGTCTCTAAATGTGTGCTGACCTTGACTGTCTTGTTTTGCAGACATGTTGGCCGTCGCTGCCTCCGTGCCCACCTTGGTCCTCAGCTCTGTGTCAGAAGGTAAGTAAGTTTCTAACTCTGTGGGGTTATTACTGGATGGTTTTTTTCCTCAGGAAAGAGCAGTAGGCTGTTGGCTTAGATTCAGGGGGAACCTACAAGAACAAGTAGTTGTAGACGGTTGGCTGAAGATCCAGTGGTCATGGTCGCCACTTTTCTCATCTGGTGGGAGAAGGAAGGTTGCAGTGTTTCTTTGGATTTTTATTGGGGAATTGGAGGAGGGGAACAGTGTTGGGGAATTGGGGAAGGGGACCAGTCAAGTTGTTCTTCAGTCTTGGTTGTGGAGGGCGCCAGTCGCCATCTGGCTGCCCGTCGGCAGCTCGTGGCCTCTAAGCTCAAGGTGCTGTGTTCAATCTTAGTTGCAGGTGGGCATAGCCACCATCCCATGCGGGAGTTGAACCGGCAGCTTTGTTGTTAAGAGCGCACGCTGTATCCACTGAGCCATCTGGGTGGCAGCTCAGCTCAAGGTGCCAAGTTCAGTCTTAGTTGCAGGTGGACATAGCCCATCGAACAGACAATTTTGTTGTTATACCAGCTGAGCCATCCTGCCACCTGTTGGCAGCTCAGCGACAGCTCAGCTTGGGCGCAGCGTCACTTGCCCATGTGGGAATCGATCCGGCATCCCTGTTGCTCAGAGCTCGTGCTCTTAAGCCAACTCTTAACAGAGACACTCGGCCGGCCCTCTTTGGTCTTTTCTTAATTTTCCTCACTTTCAGCCTTTCTGCGTATTTTAACTTCATTGGTTTACTCCAGTTCTTGATTCCTTTCCTGAGGTCTAATTTTCTTCTTTCCTTTCTGTTTAGTCTTTCTTCCTTTAATGCTTTTATTTCTTGTAATTTGGGCCGCTCTCAGGAATTAGCCTTTAAATATATTTCTTCCTGCTATCTTCATTTCTACCCTGTTGACTTCAACAATGGCCTCTGTGCCGTTTTGTTTTGTTTTTTTACTTTTAGTTTTAGAAATATTTTACACATTCATAAAACTTGGAAGAATAATGCAGTGAAGTTCTGTACACTTCTTACCTAGATTTATCAGTTGCTCACATCTGCTGTGTTTACTTATCTCTCCATGTATTTCAGGTTATGCCATATGAAATTGGTATTTCTGTAGGTCTGAACTGGGCTAGTGCTGGCAACTTAATGTGGTTCAGCCTGATATATATGTAATCATTGTTACTATTTTCTCCTGAATTCTTTGAGATGAAGCTGCAGACATCGTGATGCTTTCTTTCTAAATACTTCTCCTAAGAGCAAGAACATTGTACTACAGAACACAGTATAATTCTACAAATGCAATTATCAAATTCAGGACATTTATTGATATGCTTTTATTCAACATACAGTCGATTTTCAGATTTTCTGTTTGTCCCAAATAATGTGCTTTACAGGACTACAGTCCACCTGTTCCCATCCAGGGTCTAGTTAGGCTCACATGTTGTATTTAGTTGTATTTCTTTAGGATCCTTTCATCTGGAAACACTGCTTAACCTTCGTTTGTCTTTTATGACATTGACAGCACCTCCCCGTTTTGTAGAGTGTCTGTCAAATTGGGTTTGTCTGCTTGTTTCCTAAAGATTAGAGTTAGGCTATCAGTTTTGGGCAGGAGTAATACATGAGTGAGGTATGGTTTTTGGAGGGGGATGGAATCATGTTAAACGTAGGCACATAATAAATTGTTGAACATCGCTGTTTAACAACTGGCTTCAGCCTAGCCCAGTGACGAGGGACACCAAGAAACTATGCAGAGGTGCTGAGCGGAAGCCAGGTCTTGATTTTTGAGAATCCGAAAGGGAGACTTGATGAGCCAAAGGTGAGCAGGTGGTGATGTGTGAGATGGCACATGTGACCTGTGAGGAGGGTCGTCCATTGGTGTAAACCGTTTGAGGTGTTGTTCTTGCCCTGGTGCCCAGTGAGACAGGAGGCGAGCTTGCATCGGTGGACCTGTGCGTTGCGGGGTGGAAAGAAGTTACCCTTGGATATGACATCACTGGGTGACTGAGGTTATAAATAGATGAGTCGAACTTGGCCTAGAGCCAAGGTGAGTGGACGAGCGCGCTGTCCTTCCTTACTCAGTGGGTTCATTCAGCCCAGCTTACTTTTTCTTATTTTAACTTTTGGTTACATACAAATTTAAACCAAGTTTACTCTTAATCATTTAACACCTTCTGGTTTTATTTTAGTGCTGTTCCTTTGGGAACCACAGCCAAGGAGGAGATGGAGAGGTTCTGGAATAAGAACACTGGTTCAAACCGCCCTTTGTCTCCTCATATCACCATCTACAGGTAAGGCTCTGCGGCCAGGGCTTCTAGAAGTGGCTGGCCGTGCTGCAGACTGGCCCCTGGTTTCCCCGACTATTCCCCAGACCTCTTATAAGAAGGTGACTAAATTCTATCTTGTGGCCTAAAGGGTAATGTCTCCTTCAAAGCTACCATTTGGAAAATTCTGGTAAGTCAAAATGCTGCTAAATAATAAGACATTATTTTGAAGCAATTGCAGATTTGCGCAGATTGTACAGAAACAGCATACAGAGTTCCCGATCACCTTCATGCAGGTTCTCAATGTGTCAGCATGTCGGATGGTCTGAGAATAAGTCAGAGATGACGATGCCCATTACTCCTGCCTCAGTTTGCTACTGTCTGTAACTAGTGATCACAGACTTGGTGGCTGAACACAACACGTTTATTAGCTTACACTCGTGAGGCTGGAAGCCTGACAAGGTCTCGGGGCAGACGTCCGGGTGTTGGCAGGGCTCTGTCCCATCTTGGAGCTCGGGGGGAACAGGATCTTGGTCCTGTCCGCCTCCTAGAGGTGCTCTGACTTCCTTGGCTTGTGGCCTCTTTTCTCTATCTTCAGAACCAGCAATGATGGGTCAAGTTTGTCTCCCATCCCATGACTTGGACCCATTGTCACATTTCTTCTCTGACCGTCTCTTCTGCCAGCCTCTTCCGCTTTTAGGACCCTTGCGATCCCATCGTGCCCATCTAGATCATGGAGCTTATTAGCAATCCGATTCCCCGTTGCCATGTGAGATGAAATACTCCCAGGTCCCAGGGATTGGAATGCACACAGCTTTAGGGCAGCCATCACTCTGCTGAACACTCTCCCCTAATACTTGAGTGTGTATCTCCGGAATTCAAGGGCGCTCGTAGGACAGCCCTCACAGTCAGAAAGTTGACAGTGGTCTGTGCTCCCATCTGGTCCTCGGGTCCCACTCAGATTTTGCCAGTTGTCCCACTGACATCCTGTATAGGTCCAAGACCCCACCCAGGATGATGTATTACGTTCAGTGGTGTCTTGCACCTCCAGTGTGGAACAGGTTTTAGTCTTCCCGTATCTCTTAAGACCTTGACATTTTTAGGCTGTTGCTCAGTTTGGGTTTGTGTGAGGTTTTCCCGTGATTTTCACTGGTGGCAGTGCCCCTGAAGCTTTGTGGTGCTCTTCTCACTGTGTTCTATCTGGGTGGGTTAGTCCATTGCTGGTGATATAAGGCTTTATCACTGCTTACGTATGTTGGCTAGTTTGTGTGTAGATAATACTGATTTTGTGGGGAGATGCTCTGAGACTGTAAGCGTGCTATCTCTCTTCAGACTTTTACCCACCAGCATCTGTTAATGGTACTTGCCTGAATTGGTTATTACTATGATGGTTTCCAAGTTGTGATTTTTCTAATTCCATCATACCTTCCAGATTTACTTATTACTATAGGGGAAAGCTTTCTTTATCAGCACAGACTAAAGGATTCCTAAGAGGAAATGCTTGTTTCTCCTCTACTCTTACGATACCAACTGAGGGTAAAACATGACCATTTCCCCTGTATTCAGTACTTCTGACAGCAAAGGTTTAGGGTTTTTCCCACACCAGCGGGGTGTCCACACTTTTGTTCTGACACGCACCGGAAGGTAGTGCAGACTCGCAGGCTAGCGGCTCAGTGCCACGAGACTGCCCTGCCTCAGGACAGCCATGGGTTCCAGCTGTAAACCAAGGGTGCAGTGATTTGGGCTCACTCACTTGGAAACACTCACTTGCATTAACTGGTTATCATAAAGGGTATCCCAGGTGATGGGAACCAGACACAGAGAGAGAGAGAGAGAGAGAGAGAGAGAGAGAGATTGATTGATTTCTTATTACTTTGCCCAAAGGGTCCAGTGTTACTGTCATCTATTTTGATGTTCAGATTGTCCCAGACTTGGCTACTGGGAGTTCTCAAGATGGCTCCTGGGAAGTCAAGATCTGGGTGCAACCAGGGTGTCATGGCTTCTAGGCCCTTTCAGCACAAGGAGCCAGGGCGCGTAGGTCTGAGACACGCCGGCACGCACGGACGTGGGCATCTGTTACTGTCCTCAGAAGCAGCACTGACAGCCATTATGCTGGTGTCGCCCCAAAACCCGTAGACCTTCTTTCTAGCTAACCCAGCAAAGCGGCTTGAGCTCTGCGACACTCTTTCCTTGGGTTCCTGCCAGGGAGGCTGGCCCATCCTTCACCACCTCCACAAATACCACAACCCTTGAGATTTTTTCCAAGCTGGATTCCAGAAATAATTCTGATTGCAGAAATTGGACACTCTACAGAAACAGAAGGACACTAATAAGTGCTCTCAGGCCTTGCTACTTTTTCTTAAGAGATGAAAGATTTGGGGGAGGATTGCAATGGGGAAGAACTTGCCAGGCCCTTCTGAGCCTGTACTTAAAGCCCTGGCCTCTCACGGGCTGAACCCAGACAGTCATGAGCTGGTGAGGTGGGCCTTTCACGGCCTTGTCTGCTCTTCCAGTTCTGAAATTTTAGACATCCTTGTGGGAAAAAACAAATAGCAGGGACACATGGGGTGTTCCCACAAGGACGTGTTGGGGAAGAGGCCTGAGAGACCTGGGGTCCTGTTTCCTAAGACTAAGGTTCAGAGTTGTTGGGAAGAGACATGGAAGCAAGCGGTTAAGTCCGCAGTTTCTGAAGTGCTCTTTATCTGCTAAGAAATTGAGATGGTTTATCAAAGCAAAAGTGTCTCCAGGAATTAAGCTATCAGGAGAACAAGAGCCTTTCAAAATGACGTTAGAAAAAGTTTTTAAACGCTTAAGCGTTGGAAGGGTTCTTAGATTTTATTTTGATCACCAGCCCCATTGGTTCTGAGAGTGCCATCCGGGAGCCGGGGGGTCCCGCTGAGCTGCTGTGGACAGTTGTGTGGGGCTGGCTAGCATGCAGACTGCACGGTAGGCCCAATACTGGGCAGTAAAGCAGCTTGTACTTTGATCTGTTCTATAACCTGGGTTTTTGCATTTGAAGAAGGGGTGCTGCTCAAGAAAAAAAAAAGATTTAAAAGCCAGCATTGTACCTAACGAGTAAATTTCCTCTGCAATATTTTCACAAATGGTTGTCTGCCTATGTTTGCAAACCTCCAGTGACAAGGAACTCACTGTCACCCTTTTCCAATTTGGGAATTTCTCTTATCATCAGAAAGACCCTTATTTTATTTAACTCACTGTAATTTATATTTTCCATCCAGTGGCTCTGGTTCTACCTTGAACTACCTACAATAGATCTAATTAAGTCCATCTTTTTTTTTTTTGACAACCCTTGATTGATTTTGAATATCTTTTCATGTGCTTATTGGCCATTTGTATATCTTTGGAAAAATGTATATTCAAGCTCTATACTCATTTTTAACTTGGGTTGTCTTTTTTTAAAAAACAACTTTATTTTACTGATTGATTAATTGGTTAAGCATGCAAGAGTTTATTACATTAACGCTGGGAACACAGATTTGTTGGGATGGGACCAGGCTTGAAGCTCATCTCAGAACCCTGCCTGGAGCTGTCCTAAAGAGAAAACTGCCACCACCGCTCGGCCTTGGACGTCACAGCTGTGCTGCTGCTTTTACTTCCACGTGAATGTGGCCTTTCTGTAACTTGCTGCCAGAGGATAACTTTTTTTATTGTGGTTAAGCACATGGAACACGCAGTTTGGTGTTTACAGTTCAGTGGCAGTAAGTACATTCACACTGTCATGCAGATGTCCCCACTGTCCATCCCCAGACGCATGTAAACAATAGCTCCCAGCCCCCATTCCACTTCATGTCTTTGGAATCTGATCACGCCAGGACCTCATAAAGTAGAATTATATGTCTGTCCTTCTGTATCTGGCTTCTTTCACTTAGCTTACTGTCTTCACAGTTCCTCCAGGTTGTAACTGTGTCAGAATCCCACTCCCTCTGAAACCTGAGCAGTATTCCATTGTGTCGAGACCTCAGCGGTGACTGTGGACACTTGGTGGCTTCCACCTTTGGCTGTCATGGATGGTGTTGCTGCGACACGGGGGTGCAGATGTCTCTTTGCATCTCTGCTTTTAGCTCTTCTGGGAAACTCCCAGAATCGGAGTTGCTGGTCACACGGGATTCTGTGTCATTTTCTGTGGAGCAGGATGCTGTTTCCACGGGCTGCACTGGCTTACATTCCCACCAGCAGGGAGGAAGGTTCCCGTTCTACACAGCCTCGCCAAGACTTGCTCTGGTTTTCTTGTCAGCGTCCTCATGGGTGTGAGGAGGCGTCTCGCTGTGCCTTTGATCTGCATTTCCCTGATGACGCGTGATGGGGACACCTTCTCGTGTGTCTGTTGGCCATCTGTGTGTCTTCTTTGGAGAAATGCCTTTTGCTTTCTGGATGGTGGTATTGCAGCACAATTGGTAGATCAGTTGCTGAAATTCATGTATCCTGTGTCTCTAGCTTCCTTTGATTAACGTTCTGCTCATACTCAGAAAAGGAAATAGAAGGAACACACTGCAAATCAGTAGATCTTTGTTGCAGCCAGCGTGCTTGTTCTCTTAGGAGCTGGAGATACAAAGATGGATAAGATAGAATTTGTGTCCAAACGATCTCAGTGTTTCCTGAAAAACATCTTTCCTAGGAGAAATCCTGCTGGCTCCTAGTGGTCGCCTTTTTTCTAAGTGAATTTAAAAAATCCTGATTTTCTGTACTAGACTTGAACCTAGTGTGCAAACAGGAGATAGTGGGGGCAACTTTGTACCTTCGCTTTGTGATGTCTGAGGCCTCAGCCATGAAACACCGACTGGGCCGAGTTGGTCTGCACATCACTTACTTACATGTCTGGGGGTGGTTCTGGCTGTTGGGGGGCCTCCTTTCCTGCCCCCCGGGCCTTTGCATAGGACTTTGGGCTTCACCGTAGATGAGGGGCGGAGGGAAAGTGGCCTGGAGCAGGCAGTGTCAGTGCGCCACGCTGTATTCTGGAGGCAGGCAGCGTGGGGCCCTGCCCAGGTGCAAGGCGCCACACACCTGCCAATGACACAAGGAATGGCAGGGTCCTGGACGATCACGCAGGACTGGAAGTCATTTCGTGGTTGTTGGGAAAATAAAACCTCCCTTACCTACTCAGCACTAGGCCAACCAGGCCATGGTTTTAGCCATTTTTGAGAATTAGAGTAACATTTGGCTTCAGCGGTTTCTCCCATCACTCAAGGTCTTGACAGTGTGTGTGTTTCATGGCTGCCCTTTTGGGCGCGGATTTTATGTCTGGCCGGCAGCCCTGAGTGCACTTGGAATGCTAAGCGATGCCTCCCAGTTCCCCACCTCTTTTTCTTTTTTCAGTTCTCTCAAATCAATATTTGTCCTTTCTTTTTCAGTCTGATAATCATTCTCTTTGATAAATAAAATAGTTGAGCAATATACTTTGCACTCTGTCATCCATTAACATAAAACTGTCCACCCAGTTAGGAGGCTTTCTTCCCCAGAGCACAATTTTAAAAGCCCCTTTTTGTTGTCCTTGACATTTTTGCAAGCCTCAGCTCATTCTGGGCTTTAGTCTCCTGATTCTTCTAACCAAATTATGTCATTGTTCTCTGCTTGTGCTTTGTTATGGGGCTCTTCTTCTGCCTTTTCTATTTATCGTGTTAAATCTGTGTTAATCAGAGTGGTGTCTAGTCAGTTTTTTGGTTTCTTTGGACATTACTCCTTTCTTTCTGTGACCATTTTCATTACACCATCAGGGTTCCTTTTCAGATCTTTTTAACCCACTTGAATCGCTGCCCTTTAGTGCTGAGGCTGTGGTCTGCTGACACGCACGTGCCGTGTCTAAGCAGACTTCCCAGGATGGGGAGACGCCTGTGCTCCCCGTTGAGCGGGAGAGCCAGGCAGGCCATGGTGGTGTTGCTTGTCCTGTGGAAACGCTCTGGCAGATTGGTGATTCGGAACATGATTTGAAAACCAGTTTGATGACAATATTTCAAAACTATTGTGCATTAAGAAACATATACTAAATCCAGCAAAATTGGATTAAAAAGTCTGGAATAGGTGATTACTAAGGAATTAATGCTATGCTCAATTTGGATATTTTGGGGTATGTATTAAGAGAGAGTTTCATAGATGCAGAGAACAAACTGATGATCACCAGATGGGAGGGGTTAGGGGGCTGGGCGAAAAGAGGGAGTGGGTTAAGAAGCTCAAATTGGTCGTAACAAAATAGTCACGGGTTGCACAGCACAGTATGGGGGGTGGAGTCAATATGGTGATAGCTGTGCGGGGCCAGGTGGGCACTTGACTAGTCAGGGGATCACTTCGTAAATTATATAAGTGTCTAACCACTGTGCTGTACACCTGAAACTAATGTGATACTGTGTATCAACTGTAATTGAAAAATAAATGTAAAAACAACAAAAAAGAGAGTTCCATGGTGACTGCATGTTACATGAGATAGTGAATAAATAACACTTGCTTAAGTTCTCTTCTCGTTTGGTTGTATGACGGGAGATTAAATGGAGGGACCCAGTGGGTTGTGTTCAGGTGATTTTTTCTTTTTTTTTTTTTTAGATTTTTTTTTTTAATTGGGGAATTGGGGGGAGGGGAACAGTGTTGGGGAATTGGGGAAGGGGAACAGACAGGTAGACAAATTGCTGTTTTGTTCTTCAGTCTAGTTGTGGAGGATGTCGCTTCACTGGCCCATGTTAGAATGATCATTGTGCTCTTCCCGGGTGAGGCAATCGGTTGCCGGCCATTGGTTGGCCGCTCATAGCGGCTCCTGGCAGCTCACACCGGCTTCTGGCTGCTCACGCTGGCTGCCAGCCACTCATGTAGCTCCTGGCAGCCCACTGCAGCCCCGCTACAGCCTATGCCGTTGCCGGCGACTCACAGCAGCCCAGCTCCAGGTCGAGCTGTTGTTCAGCATCTTAGCTGTAGAGGGCAGTGTCACTGTCCCTCATGTGGGATCTGAACCGGGGCCCTCTGGCGTCCCAAGTGAGCTCTTAACCAGCTGAGCCACTCGGCCGGCCTTCAGGAGATTATTTCTAACGGTGCAGCTTTACTTGCTGCTTTCCCCCATGTTGTGTCCGCTTATGAGAGGAGGAGTGTGAGTTATAACTGACCCTCCTCTCAGCCCTGTCAGTGGTCCTGTCTGGGAAAAGAAAAGGGTGCTTTTTAAACAAATCCGTTTTCTTATTTTCAAACTAGAAAGAGGAGACACACGAATGTGAAAGTTGCTTGTGTTTGTGTTTAAATAGTGCCTCTTTCTGAGGTAGTTTGATTCTCTTTGCCAAAGTAGACACTCAGAGTGTCACTTTCTCCTTTTTAATGGCCTTCGTGTGTTTCTTTGCAGTTGGTCTCTTCCCATGGCGATGTCCATTTGCCACCGTGGCACTGGTATGGCCTTGAGTGCAGGTATGTCTGTGTGTTTTTATTCACGCCCCCCCCCACACACACACACGCATGCGCACACACACTTGTTTGAAGAGCCTTGCTGTTTCTTTGGCTGTAGACACTGCCTCCTTTGCAGCTCAGCAACTTCACTTAGGGAACCTCGTTAACTCTCTAAACCTCAGTACACTCCTCTTAAATTGGGCATGTGGATGCCTCTCCCAGAATTGATGCGGCCTCAAGAAGCTACACTCTGGATGTCGACTTACAGAAACAGGGAGGAGAAGCACGATACCTTTAGTAGCAACGGCCTTTTAGAAGGTGATGTGCTCTGGGCCAAATGGAACAATTGGGTCGTTTGGCCTGAAACAAAGTCAGCTCTGGCAGCTGGGACCTTCGCCCTCCTCTAGTCTGTTTTTCACACAACAGCAAGAAAAAGAAAAACCTTTTGAAAACAATTTGAGCCATGTCACACTTAGAGTCTTCCTTAGATTAAAATTCTGGTCTCCACCGAGGCCTAAAATGCCTGACCTGGCTGGCCCTGGCCTGACTCACTCCGGCGGCCGTACCTCCCGGCTTGCTCTTCTCCAGCCAAACTTGTCTTTGCAGCTGTGGCTCAGGGCCGCTGCGTCTCAGCCCCCTGCTGTGCGTGGTTCCTTCCTCCTCCCCTTAGATCTCAGCAGCATTGTCAGGTCGGAGAGCAATTTGCTGCCGCCATGTCTAAAGAAGCAGCTTCTGTTTCTGTTTCTGTTGTCAGCTTCCTTGGTAATTTTGTTTCACAACAGTATTTCTTCATAGTTCTTTTTGCACTGGTGGTTTCTTTCATAGTTTTTACATAATTTGTAATTATTTTGTTTGCTTAATTTTTTATAAATCTGTCTCTTTTTTAGACTAAACTCTTCAGAGAGTGGGGGCTGCATCTATCCATTTTCCATTTGTACCCTCTAGTAGTCAGTAGGAGCTTAGGAAACCTTTCCTCACTAAGGAATACACCTGTGTGAACAAGTTTGCTCTTGGTGGTCATTTCAGAAAGAACGGTTCACTCCTCCTGCCTTCTCGTTAATCCCCTGTTGTGCACTAGGAATTGGGGAGTGACAATAATGGCCTCTACCCTCAAGGGCCGTGGAGTCGACGGAGTAAGACAAGTAAATATTTATAACGCACTGTGGCCGCTTTTCAGTAGAGCTGTGAGATCCCAGAGGAGAGGCCAACTGAAGGAGTTGCAGCCCTTGAGAGAAGGATCAGTGGGAAGTTCATGAGGAGGCGGAGGAGGGCATTCCCACGGAGACGACCTGGTGCCCGGGCACAGCTGGGTGTGTCTGAGAGCAGTGTCTCTGGGGAAGAGGGAAGAGCCCAGACAGTGGGGGGACCGCCTACCGTGCGGGGACGTTGGGCCTCGGGCCTCTGGCCATGGGAAGGCACGAAGGTCCCTGTTCTCGTTTGTTCAGTAACAGGACAAGCTGGCCTAGATGAAGCCACGATGAAGGATTTACTCAGATGGCAGAGAGTGTGTGGCCAGTAGAGAAATATAAAAGGAGTGATGACACTAGTTTGACTTTAAAAGAGAATTTACTGAAAAAGAACTTTACAAGCAGTGCTTTAGAAGATGGAAAGAGATAGCTCGTAACAGTTCCATTGCTTAGGCTCTGCAGGGATTAAAATACTCGTGATTTTTCACAGTGACAGAGGGTGTAAAATCGAGGTGCGATTACGTCACCTCAGTATGAATGAGACTGGGGAAGGGTAACTGACAAGATGCAGTATCCACCATGAAAAGGGCATCACAACCAGAAGCTAGTGTGCCACCCAGCAGGTGTTCAGAGGAGCGCCCTGCACATGGGCTGTGCTGGTGACAGAATGGGTCCAGAGTGGCCCTGCAGGTTAGGACCGTCCTGGAGCCCAGGTCCGTGTGCTGTGTTAGTGGTAGCTGGAGGCAGCTGACTGGTGGGCTTGCTTCTTTATCTCCTCAGGGGTCTCTCTGTTTGGTCTGTCGGCCCTGTTGCTCCCCGGGAGCTTTGAGTCTCACTTGGAGCTCGTGAAGTCCCTGTGTCTGGGGCCTGCCCTGATCCACACGGCCAAGTTTGCTCTCGTCTTCCCGTTCATGTATCACACCTGGAATGGGGTCCGACACTTGGTAAGTCCACTGAGGTCTCTACCTGTTCTGGGTGAGGGGATGGACAGGCTGGGAGGACTTTGCCCCACTGTCTGGGTTAGTGCCCTTCACTAGGTCGGCGGTGCCAGGCCTCTGTCCGGGGGCCCTTGGGGAAAGCCAGACGAGGCTCCGTGCTGCCCACGCAGCCGTGCCTGAGTGGGGCTGGCGGAGACTCTCGGGCTCGCAGTGTGAGCGCTTCTGTTTCGGGGGTGTGTGACCAAAACAGGCCCCTGAAGCCAGGTCATCCATCTGGCATAGAAGGCGTGTGTATTAGGCCGGTAACTGGGACCGGCTGCATCAGGCCCTGTTATGGACACAGGTTCAGCATGAGCTGGGTAAACGTGCCGGCTGCTTTCAGCCCCACATCCCTGTCCGCCCAGAGGGACGCGCTGGGCTGGAGTCAGACATCCTGACTTCTCTAACCTTCACACAGGGCTATACCAACTGTTTTGTAGTTGATTTTGAGCTGTTGGAGAAAATGGGGCCAACTTTAACAGAAACTGGGTGCCTAGGGTCCCACAGTTGAATGTTGGCTTTAGGAACCTGTTGATGCCTCCCACGTGACCTTGGGGTCAGCCAGACTGGTGTTTCCTCCTCTTTATGAAGGCGGTTAGCCCCCGCCCAGCGCTCTGAGATGTCCTTGCCTGGGGCCCCTTTGCCTAGTCCCGCTTCCTTTCCCGGAAGCAAGCACAGTCCCCTTCTCGCTGGTTTTCCATTACAGCCTGAGCCATCTCTCCCATGGATGAGATGCTTTTCCTTATTTTGACCTTGTATAACTTCCTCATTAGAGCCTAGAGACAAGTACTTTCTGAATTTCAGTCTGGTCCGCTAGGCAGGGTAATGGAATTGGAGGAGTGAGAGATACATGGCCTGGGAGACTCAGTGCATCTGCCAGCTGTCCCCTGGGCGGTGTTCGGTTTGACCCGAGATGACTTGTCTTCCCAGAGGGGAGGGCATTCCCATCACAGCCTTCTTGTCCCACAGAGCAAAGCTCTGCTGAGAACCAGCGCTTGGCTCTCTGCCACATCCTGGCTCAGGCGGGGGCTCGGCCTGGGGGAGGGAAGGGAGGAGGTGTTGCAGAGTCTCAGAACCAAGTGACAATGGCCTTTCTTGAGCCATTAAATCTGCCTTAGGTTTCGTTTCCAGCAAGCACTGGCTCTGAGTGTGGGGCAGCACTGTGTCTGTTCTCTGGGACAGTCTGGAGTTTTTGCCCCCTGAGCTGGACAGTTGCCTTGGCAGAAGCTCTGGTGGGGGCGTGGAGAAGGGATGGGCCTCTGGCATTCCAGAGAGCGTCCCCTTCGGCACCAGCCAGCCCTAGGGCTCACACTTGTCCAGACAAGCAAACAGCCTTCTGTGGAATCTGCGTGGCTCCTCGCCTGAAATGCGTGGAAGCCCTTTGGGGCTGATGTGGGGCATCTTTTCATCTGGGTTTTTCCTGGGCTCACCTGTCTCTGAAGTGCTCCTAGCTTAGTCAGTTCCACAGAGTGGGCGTTGGGGGGCGGGAAAGTGGGGGACCTGAGGCTCTGCTGTTGCTACGGGACCTTTCAGCAACATGAGCACAGGGTGTTACCATCCCCAGGGCACGAAGTCTAGGTCAGTGTTTCTAAAAGTGTGGTTTTGATCCAGTGGGTGGAAAATCAATTGAGTGGGTTGCTGCCAACAAAAAAAGAAATTTCAGTAGAATATCACGTGTAGAATGTAGCACACACAGTTCTGGTGAATATTGTTTATCATTCCATGAACTTCTGTACATGTGTTAAAAAAACAACATTCAACTAAGTAAACAGTAAAGATCTTATTGGCTTTATCAAGCAATGCATGAACTGGGCAGCCTCCCATGGAGCAGTCAGAACAGAGCTCGAGGACTGTACAGAATGGAAGGTTTTTATAGGGAAGAGGTGGGGCAAGGGAGCGACTGACAAAAGAAAGGAGTATTTTGGGCCTGGACGCCTTTTCTTTGGGTGAAGAGAAGGGTTTTTACCATGCAGATCGCCGCCTCTGAGGATGGAGAGGGCCCGTGTGACAGACAACCTCACTGGTACTTGGCCAAAACAGTCCCGACTGGGTGGGATGACGTTTCTGGGAGAGCTGAAACTCAGTTAGATCGAGGCCTGGCTTCATGGGCCGTAGCACAAGTGACGCCATGTTGGGCCTGTGGTTTTCTCTTTAATGCGTTATATACTGGGCACCAACTAAAAAGTTATTTCCCAGTGGAGGTCAGAGTGAAAACAAAGTTGGGAGGCAGTGTTGTCGATCCCCCAGGGCTCTTTAGAGCTTTGCTCCTCCGCTGGACGGATGGGTGGGCTGGTCCAGGAAACCACCTGTGTCATACCCGCGGTTTGGAGAGTCCGTGTGCACGAGTGAATTGTTTGACAAGTCTTGCAGTTCAATGTTTACGAGTTTATCTGACCACAGAACTTCCTTCCCCCGTGTAACGCTTTCAGCGTTCTGAGGAGCTGGTTTGTGCAGGAACACAGTGTGAGGCACAGTGATCTGGCCTTGTCGTCGTGAGGGAAGTTATGTGTTCAGCCTGGAAGTTTCTGTGGAGGCTGAGGATGCCTTTCTGTCACGTGCTGAGTGGGTGTGTTGAAAGTGAAGGTGCGGGTGCCTTGGGGGGCTCTCTAGGCTCAACTGAGAGGAGACACCTGGTCCTTTAGGTGGGGTTGTTTTCTGGAAGGGAGCTGTGACAGTGACCAGGGCCCTGATCGCTGAACATTTTCTTCTTTTTCTGCAGATGTGGGACCTAGGAAAAGGCCTGAAGGTTCCCCAGCTCTACCAGTCAGGTGCGGCTGTGTTGGTTCTCACCGTGCTGACCTCTGCAGGGCTGGCCGCCATGTGAGAGCTGAAGCTCCCGGCAGCAGCAGCTTCAAATCACCATGCTCCCCTGTCTTCCTGCGGGTCCCTCACCTCCCCACGAAGCCCTTCTGATCTGTGTAGCCCCTTCCGTGCTTGCAGAGCCCGCGGAGCTCAGCAGGACAGCACGCCCTAGAACCACAGCAGTGGGGAACGGTCCACTTCCCCCTTGTTTCTGAAGACGGAAAGACAGCAGAACCCCCCTCCTTCTTGCCCCTGCGTGCAGCCCACTCTGGGCCCCAGAGCCCTCGTCCACTCTCCATATTGGGTCTTAATTTGTGCTGAGGGTCAGCTTTTGGCTGCTGCTTCCTGAGACGAGGAAACAATGGCAGCTCTGTGGCCTATGCCCTGGGGCTGGGGGTGGGGCCTCGGGGGCCACTGCCTGTGGGCTGCTGGTGCAAAGGACAGCTCCGCTCATTGGTCAGAGCCCAGGTCTCCAGCGCCCACACAGTGTGCCTGAAAGAAGGGGGGTGGGTGGGGGAAACCAGCCTGTCCCACCAGAGGGCGAGGTGGCTTTGGGGGCAGGTGCGTTGGGGGGAAGCTATGTAGCTTTTGATGCAGAAGGGAGATGCAGAAATTACCCTTGAAGGGTTGGTTCATATTCCTTGCAGTTCCAGAAAAACAGCCTCATGGTCGTGTTTTCTAATCCAAATTTATGTGACATCTTTTTCTGAAACTGAATTAAAATGCTCATTTTGTCTTTGACTCACCTTGAAACCTGGAGGGACTGAGAGTGGCTGTTGGGAGAAGCCCGTCCCCCTCCCTCTGGTCTCAGGCTTTTATGTCCCCCAGTTGGACCTTTCTCAGGAGGGAAACGGTTTATTCTACAACTGGGGAAATTGGCAGGGAATCAGACACAAGTAGCAAGGATTTAACATCACATGGATGCCTCAAAGCAGGAGGGAGCGTGAGACGGGAAGTCAGCCCGTGGGGCGCCTGTGGGCTGTGACAGGATCCAAACCCCACAGAGCTGGTGGTAAGCGCTGTGGTACAGCTCAGCTAGTTGTGACCCAGGGAGGGGAGCCACAGGTGACGGCTAAGGCATGATGAGCTAAGGATGCAGACGAGCAGAGAGGAGATGTAAAAAGCAGGGGTCGTTGAAAACCTGGCAGACACTTGGTGAGGAAACTTGCTGCTTTTATCCATAAAGGCCAGGCTTTTGGGTCCCCAACTCCCTTGGCAGCAGTGGTGTGTTGATAGTCTCTTAGAAAGTCTGGGTGACAGATCTGTCTTGTCTGCCACTCAGTTGGTGGCCAACCAGTTAAAGCTGTGGGTGGAGAGCAGCAGCAGTGACGTCACTGGTTTCCAGTGCAGAGGAGACCTTCCCTACATAGATGCTGGGGACCTGCTGCCTCAGCAGCCCTCGTCCCAGGTCCGAGGGGCTTGGGCTGTAAGTGATGTTCAGTCTCCCTTTTCGCTAGACCGGCCCTGGGCAGCCTTTGCGGGGCATCCTCAGGCCCAAACCATGTGTCCTCTGTGCTTGTCCTTGGAATGTGGGACCAGTGCTCTTGAGGGGACCCTTTGGCATTGGTGCTGGGAATCGTCGGGCAGGGGCACTAAATTTACCCCCCAGTGGCAGGAGATGCAGCGTGGGGACAGTGCTGAGCAGGAGGCGGAGGCTGGGAGTGGACAGGGGACTTGCTGACCTTTTTGGTGGCTTCTTACCATTCAGGTGATTGGGGCCGGGGTGGCCGAGTGGTCATCACGGTTGTATTCTGTCCTAAATTTCTACTTACCTTCTTCTCACTTTGTTTTTCTTCTATGTCTTCCAGTCACTCCATACATCTTCAGTTTTAAACTATATTTGTGCTTCTGCTTGAGTTTTGCTTCTGTGACTTTGTTTTCCCTGGTGCTCTGCCATTGGATGTGACGTCTTAGACGGGCAGTGTCTTCAGCTCCGGCCTCCCAGACCTGGTCCAAACACAGACACGTGCTCTGCTGACGACTGCCCTTCTGACCTTGGTGTGTGTGCTCAGGATGAAAAATGAGGGTGAGGGTGATTCAGATCGACGTCTTGGTCGTGTCTGCAGCGTAACTTCTGACTCAGTCCTTGTAAAAACGTGTTGCTCCCCAACCCTCTGCCTCTTCTCCCTACTCTGTCTCCCCAGCCCTCCTCCTGGTTATGGGTTACAAGAGGCAGCCATAGTGGAGGGAAAAAGCCCAAATCGGTGAAAGATGCAACAAATAACAAATGATGTTTATTTTCCAAATTGGTCTTTATTCTCACCCCATAATTCCCCTGACGGGGGTCTGGCTTACTTCCCTCAACCTCTAGACAGGTTATCTCAGTGGGGCCCCTCGGTCCTTTCTGGAATCCCAGGTTTGCATTCCTGGACGTCAGCTAGATTTGGACCTTCCCAGTGTCCTAGCGTGAGAAGGCTTCCAGGGGTGGGGAGTGGGGGGCGTTAGGACACTTGGCTGGGCTTGGGGGACCTGGAGTGTGACCCGCAGAGGGGTGTGAGCTTCGCCTCTGATCTGGGGAGTTGAGATTTGAGCCTGGGGAGCTGAGAAGTATGGCCGGGCTTGGTGCTAGCTGTACCAACTTCTTGGGCCTCTTCGGACTGTCTGGACCATGCGGCTGTAGGGGTGGGACAGAAGGGTGTCTGAGAGGCCTCGGTTGTTCCCAGTGCACCTCAGAATTATAAATTTCTTTCTCCCCCTGCCGCGGACAAAAGGTCAGGTTCAACTAAGAGTTAAATTTGATTCTGCGAACCTCCCCTGAGATCAGATCATTTTGTACTGTGGGCGCTAAGATGGAGCCCATCCCTTAGGATCTCAGGAGGTGCTTAGGACAGACAGGACTGGGCAGAATCGCTCAGGGGCCCCCTGCTGGGACAAGCCCTGCTATAACCAGGGGCACTTGAGGTTGGAAAGCAATGGGAACAGCAGGATTTGAGGTTAGGTGGGAGGGGTGGGTACCTTGCCCGTGATTTCCGGGCGCAGCCCATTGGAGGCCTTGAGTAAGTCAGGATTTTCCTGTATCCATTTGGTGAGGGAAGCAGCGCCAGCAGCTGTACGGGCCGTCAGGGTCACCCGAGCAGGGGGCACCTTCAGAGGCATCTGCCATGTGCCCATGAAGGAACCCCAAGGGCTTGCCTAAAAGGGAAGGACACGGGTCCTGATGGGTGCTGCCTGCCACTTCCCTTCTCTACCTGGGGGCATGCACCGTGAGACCAGACAGAAGGTGTGACCCCCCCCTTTCATTTGGGTTACCCGAAGTCTTCCATCCCCTGACCTCCCTTGGCTCCATTCTGCACCCTTAGGCTAAGTTTGGTGGTGTCACCTGAGGGTATTCGTTTTATTCAGGTCGATTTAGGGAGATTGGGTGCTGAGTACCATTCCGTCTGCTGGATGAACTGGCAGTTTGGGGAGCTGACGGTGGCCACACGGGGTTGGAAGCCTGCCCCCCTCACTCCAGTCCTCAGCCTTCTCCGTACGAGTGGAGATGAGCAACTCACCTTGGAACGGGGCACCGAGGGCAGCAGATGACCACAGTCATTGGCGATAATCTGAGTGTAGCCTTCGTGGGAAGAAATGCTCTGGGGTAGAGGTGGGGGGAGAACGCTTGGGCAAGTGGAGTGGAAAAGGGGCAGAAGGTACCTGGGGGCTGAGGGCTGAGGGCGAGGGGGCTACCGGGGTTCAAAGGAGGCTTCAGGAGTTACAGAGCGTGATGGGAAGAACCGCAAGGTGGCCTCAGTGCGCCAGACGCGGGGCAATACCTGTTTTGTCGGCTTGGCGGGAGACCAGTTCTGCAGAAACCTGGGTGAGAAAGCTTTTTCATACTGTGGAGAGAAGGGTGAGAGCCCTCGGGGGCTCAGCGGCCTGAGCCCAGGAAGTGAAGGCTCAGTTATTTGGGTTTGAGGACCAGGGTCCTGACCGACCATGCCAGGCGTTAGGGGGCTGTCATTTGTTTGGTCTAAAGCAGCGGTTCTCAACCTGTGGGTCGCGATCCCTTTGGGGGTCAAACGACCCTTTCACAGGGGTCGCCTAAGACCATCGGAAAACAAAAAGATATTTACATTACGATTCATAACAGTAGCAAAATTACAGTTATAGAGTAGCAACGAAAATAATTTTATGGTTGGGGGTCACCACAACATGAGGAACTGTATTAAGGGGTCGTGGCATTAGGAAGGTTGAGAACCGCTGGTCTAAAGGGTGCCGTCCAGCGTTGAGCCACTAGCCACACGTGGCTGAGCAGCACTAGATACATGACTGACCTGTCCGGGCTGAGGAGCTTTGTAAGTTTAAATCCATGGGATTTGGAGACAGTACAAAAAAGGACCTCTGATTATAGCTTAAAATATTAAATGTTGAAATAGTATTTTGGATGTATTGGGCTAAGTCAAATATATTATTAAAATTTACTATTTTACATTTTTTATGTAGCTACTAGAAAATTTAAAATGACATTTGTGGTTTGCGTTACCTTTTTGTTAGACAGTGCTGGCCTAGGCCAGTGGTCAGCAAACTCTGGTCCGGGGGCCAGACCCATCCTCCTGTCTGTTTACAGAGGGCCTGTCAAAGCTCAGAACGGTTCTTGTAGGGGAACGTTTGCACTTGGCTTGATAAAAGGGACACACACCAGCTTTGCATCCTCCCAAGAGGATTCTGTTCTTTCAGTAGTAATATAAAAAAATGATACTCAGTTATATTTTGAATTTTGTCAGAACTTTATGGAAAAATGTTTTCTGTTTTAATGTAGTAAGTACCTATATACTATGTGTGATTTTGTCACTTAGCCTACAGAGCCTAAAATATTTACTCTCTGGCCCTTTACAGAAGAGATTTGCTGGCCTCTGGTTTAGACTATACACACCGACCCCAGAGACACCTTTGGCTTGTCCCTGGGCCCTCCTTGCCCCAGGAGCTGAGGAGGTGACAAATGCTCCACCCCACTCGCAGCTGTCTATTCAGTGGTCAGAATCCCGCGGGAGGCATCAGTCCAAAGGCAGAATCTGGGAAGGCAAAATTAAACAGAGAGATGGAAAAAGAACTTACCTGGTTGGCACTGTAGTTAGTGGCCATGATCCTGCTACTTCCTGCTGTTTACCTTTGTTGCCTGGCAACCGCAGAAGGCGGACCTTCCAGACAACCCCCCAATGAGCAGGCGGCCTTTCCCTTGTTACTTTCTTGGATGACACTGTCCCCAGGATTTTTCCTGGAAGCTTGGGTTTATTTTCATTTTAGAGATGTGAGGGACAGGGTGAGTGAACGTGAGAAAAATCAGCCAAACAACGGCCCTGTCTTTTTTCTAACATAACTTACCCTACTTAAGACTGCCCAGGTTGCCTGTGACTGTGGCCTTTAGCCACTGTCCCCATCCATGGAACCCCAGGAGCTGTATTCGTCGGGCAGTGTGGTGTAATGTCCCACGAACTTTAGAGCCAGACACTTACCGCGGGCACATAGGAGCTGTGTGACGTTGAGCACTTGGCTTTGGTTCATTCAAGTTGTGTAGCCTCCTTTGCATTGGGATGGTAGAGCCTGCCTTGACAGGTAAGCAGGGTCTAGGTGAGATCGGCACTAGGTACGCAGCACTGCCGAGGCCCTGATTGCAGGGTCCTCCATCTCCTCAGGTAGAGTAACAAAGGAATCATGTTTTCAAAGGGACTGACTCAGATTTGTGCCCAGAAAAGCATGTCTCGTCCTGGGTCTTTAAGTGACTCCTGTCTCTGCCATCACCCTCTGGGATCCCAGGTAGCGCTGCACCCTGAGCAGGGCCGAGAGAAGCGGGAGACGCAGGGAGCTTGTGGTGCCAGGGCACGCACCTACCCAGGCGCAGCTGTGCAGCAGATGCCCCCCCTCCCCCGCTGCCTGGGAAGCACCTTCGGCTGCTGCTCACCTGCCCCATACACAGTGTGCACCATTCTTGACAGCAGCCCTTCCTGAGGAATTGAGACAAGCTGTAACAATGCAAACGGCTGAGGAGACATCAGTGTCTCTCCCTAGTGGTGAGAAGTAACTTCCATTGACTCGCATGTCTACGAGTACGTGGTGCTTATAATGGAACCTGTACTATGTGGTAGCTGTGTGCTTGGACGGTATCCAGGGCGGCCCTCCAGTCTGGAAATAGATAACTGTTGTTGTTTCAGCATGTATCGAAAGATCAACAGACTGCTAATATGTATTCATTTGTCTTTCCAGACATCTTGGCAACCCTGTAAATACAGTCCATGCATCAATGAGGAGAGATTTAGAGAGTGAGAAGTTGAGAGAGTCCCAACTGTCATGTACAGATGTTAACTAGGAATAAGCAGGTTTTGCCTCAAGTTAGGTGCCAGGAGGGGATTAAGAGACCCCAGGGCGCCTCACAGGCCTCAAGACACTTCACTTACATCCCCAACTTATTAAAGGGTGTGGTAAAGGGTCCACGTGGACGTCACCTGAAGAGGTGCTTAGGGCCAGGCGTGTGGGAGGGGCTCAGCGCCATGCCCCCTCCTGGCACCACATTCCCTGCCCCTCCATCACCCATGAACCTGTACTCTGGGGACTTTGTGGAGGCTTCACCACAGGGCAGAATGGGTCATAGCGCCATTTCCAGCCCTTCTCTGCAGATAGGGCAGGGCTGGAAACCCCAGGCTTCTAGTCGTGGCCTGGGTTTTGTGGGGACCAGCCCCCACCCAGGAGTCACCCAGAGCCCCCTCATCAGAACAAAGACACTAATATTACCCAGGAAATTACAAGCAGTTCAGGAATCAAGGTCAGAGGCCAAATATTAGAGCAAAAAATGATCTTATTACCTAGGAAGTTACATATTCTATGTAAAGATATTTGAAAATCTACATTAAATGGATAATTGCGCAGAAAAACACAATTTAACAAAATTGACCTCTGTGGAGAAAGAAAGTCTAAACAGACCATTTAACATAAAAGAACTGGAGACACCAGTTAGAGTTCCCCACAAAACAAAAGAGGCCCAGATGGTTTCACTGGAGGAGTCTATGAAACTTTAAAAAGTTTAACTTACTATTCTAGAGCATGGCAAAGGAAGGAAAACTCCCAAACTCGTGTTATGATGTAAATGTAACATTGATTCCCAAATCTGAATTTCAGAACCACAACAAAGACTAACGAAAAGGTACACTGTAGACCAATTTTCGTTATTAATATTGATGCAAAAATCTTACATAAAACATTAGAAAGCAGAATCCAACAGCACATTAAAAATATTTTATTGTGTGAACACCTTCTAGTTGCTAGATGGGACGCTGCCTGATTCATGAATTGCTTAATAAAGGCAATCGGGTCTTCAAATTAAAAAAGGTTATCATGACCAAGTAAGTGATGAGTGCAAGGGAAATCCATTGGTATAATGTATCATTTTAATTGATCCAAAGAGAAAAACGTATGGTTATCTCCATAGATGCATATTAATAAGATTTAATACGTAACAAAAGGCAAAAAGGTACTGAGAAAAATAAGTTATAAATTATAATACAAAGGGTTAATATTCATCAAAAGAAACTTCTAAAAATACAGAAGAAAAAAACTAATATCCCTACAGAAAACTGGACTAGAGATATAATCAGACATATCACAGAGAAAGAAATACAAATTGCTGTCAACCATATGAAAAAACGTTCAATATCACTCACACTTAAAAAAAATGCACATTAAAACTACATACGTCACTCAGGAGGCGGGCGTATTCCAAGACATCGGTGACATACAGCTGGCCATGCTTTGAGGACACTGGCGCTCACACGTGGAAATGCAAAACAGCAGGACCTCCACGATGGGGACTTGATGGGGAATCCGGCGGTGTCCAGCCAGCGCAGCCCCACGTCTAGCCGTCGGAAGATACTCCGGCAACAACATGGAAAGACGAGCAGTGTGCAGCATGAAACGCAGCATGGTCGCAGCCACAGGCGGGGTCGCCCAGACGGCTCGGGCGGCCGTGGAGGGAGCGAGGGACGCGCTCGGGGGACGCGTTCAAGCGAGGACAGCCGGGCGTAGCGCGTGCGCACAGCGCGCTGTGTCAAAGACGTAAACACGCGTATTCGTAATGATGAAAAACGGTGGGAAAACAACTGGTGTAACAGAGAGTTTCCTCCTTGAGGGCGAGAGGAGATGGGGTGGGCAGCGCAGGGGCAGAAGGGGAACTCCGAATACACCTTGTTTGGCAGGGTTTATTTTGGAATTATGTAACTATTTTACACAATCATAAAATTAAGTTAAAAGCAATCCGTAAAATAAAAAAGCAAACGAATTCTCATTATCTTCACAATGAAGAGCGTTTTTAGGAGACCGCTGGCTGCGGCACAAAAGCTGTGTCAACAAGCCGGCGCCTGCGCCCCCCTCTCCGCGGCCGGCGGCGCCGCTGTCTTGCGCCTCGGTCGCCCTCTAGCGGAGACCAGCTGCACAGCAGGTCGCCGGCGCCTGCCGCTCAGAGGGGACCCTCGCTGCGGTCCCCGGCCGCCTTTTCCTTAGAGGACTCTTAACAGCTGCAGGCGTTAGGGTCACCAGGAGGATGTGGGGAGGGGCATGAGCGCTGTAACGGCAGAGGCGGAACCCAGGTTTTAGAGGGAAGTGGGGGGATGGGAGACACACGAGGCTAAGGACCGAGAAGATTTGGGCTCAACTCAGAATCGGGAAGCAGGTTCAGCTCCCTCTCCGGCTGGAAAGAGGTGCTGAGCGAGCCCAGGCTCCGGCTCCCCTCCAGGCGCTGCCTTAGGGAGAGACCCACGGTGCTGATGGGACGAGGAGGGTCTCCGGAGCAGGGGCGGATGGGGTCCCTCGGGTCCCTCAGGACTCGCCCCGAGTCTCGCTGACCACCGAGGCCGGCTGGCACAGCTCTTCCCTTCCTGGCATGGAGGGCCCAGACCAGAGCACGTGCAAAGTGTTCCCCAGGGGGAGCGATGGGGGGGAGGTCCTTGCGTCCTGGCTGCCCCAGGTCTGGTCTGACCTCAGTAGGAGAGGCCTGTGCAGCAGAAGCTCCTCGAAGGATGCGCCTCTCTCCCGGCTTCGGGCACACCCGGTCTCGCCCTGTGCTGAGGACGCGTGAGGGGTGCCACCTCAGTGTGTCTGTAATCTCCGTTACTTTTCAATAAGAATACAAAAAGAACACTAACAACAGTCTAGTTTCCGACATCCATTTTCTGGTCCTATAAAATGTATCTCCTACAGTGAGATCGTCTGGTATTTGTCTCTTCTGACTTGTTTCACTCAGCATAATGCCCTCAAGGTCCATCCATGCCGTCGCAAATGGTAAGACTTATTCTTTTTTGATGGCTGAGTAGTATTCCAGTGTGTGTGTGTGTGTGTGCGCGCGCGCGCGCGCGCGCGCGCCACATCCTCTTTATCCTTTCGTGTATCGGGCACGTCGTTGTTTCTATATCTTGGCTATTGTGAATAAAGCTGCAGTGAACATGAGCGTGTGTGTATCTTTTTGAGTTAGTGTTTTGGATTTCTTCGGACAAATAGCCAGAAGTGGGATTGCTGGGTTGTGTGGTAATTCTATCACTTTTTTGAGGAACTTTTACTATTTTCCAGAGTGGCTGCACCAATTTACATCCCCACCAGCAGTGCCCGAGGGTTCTCTCTCCTCCACACCCTCGCCAGCACTGGTCATCTTGTCACCCTGACAGGTGTGAGGTGACATCTCACTGTGATTCCCTGATGACGAGTGACGCTGAGCACCTTTTCATGTACCTGTTGGCCACCTGTGTGTCCTCTTTGGAGAAATGTCTGTTCAGATCCTCTGTCCATTTTTTATTCGGAGTGTTTGTTTTATTGGACTACTTAGGAGTGTCCTGCAAGGCCACTCCTGTAGGGAGGAGCAGTTGCGTTTAGCGGGGAAGTGCTCCTGGCACCCCCACCCCAGTCTCGCATAGGTTCCCCACTGCCTCATCTTGAGGTCAAAAGGCACCAGCCTCCTCCATGGTGGGATGGGGTCCCATTCCCTTGCCTGTCTCGAACCTCACAGCTGCCCCTCCACGGACTCCACGACAGAGCGTGCTCTCTGGAGGCCTGGGCTCCCGCGATGCTCCAATTTAACAAGGGATTTTTGAACCATCTGTATAAACGACCTCAGATCTAGCCCCGTCACTGCAATGGGACTCAGGCATGTGTCTTTTCAACTTTGCTTGTTCATCTGTAACATTTTTATAATGATTACTTCATAAGATTGTTAAAATGATTAAATGACATCGTGAATTATTACTCAGTCTGATACAAAGTAATTGAAGACAAATGTTAGTTATTATGATTAGAAAGTGTATATTAGCAAATCGAAGACTCCGGGAGCTATTTTATTAGAGACGTGCTTAACTTGGTGAACCAGAATTTTCCAGGCGGATTCGTGCACAGAACGTTTCAATAGCACACTTGTAATTGGGACGCGAGGATTGGCGCGGAGCCCGCGCGACATGCCCACGCAGGACGGCGGGTCCGGGCCTGGCGGGAAGGGCGGGCGGCCGCTCCGGCTCCTGCGCCGCGCGCCTGGCTCCCCACTCCTCGCGCGCGGCTCCGCTTCCCTCCCACGGGCGTGCTGCTGGCACCTCGTCACCCAGCCCTCAGCGTCCGGAGCCCACACCAACCGTTGCCCCCTTCCGGCCCTGCCTCAGGAGGGACTGGCCCGTAGGCTCGCGACCGCGCGGGTCCGCACAGGGCGGGGGCGTGACCGGAGGCGGGGCCGGGGGAAGCTCCGGGTCGCGGGGGCGTGGCCGGGGCGTGGCCGGGAGCGGGGGGAGCGGGGAAAGGAGGGGGCGTATAGGTGCCGCCTGACGCTCCCAGGGGTTTGAAGGCGAAATCACCAGTCGACGAATTATTTTGGGGGAAATGCGCGTTACCGTGTCCATATTTTGTCTTTGTAATGCAAATTTACGCAACGGCTCACCTTTGCCTAAACAGCCTGGCTCTGCTTGACAGCACAGAAGGGAGCAGGGCGAGAGACCACCTGTGCCCTTGGGAAATGCTGACTAAGCTCAGAGTCAGTGCTCGTTAAAACGTACAGCCTTCGCGGGAAGCCACGCTCTTGTTTGCTGTCACAAACAAGGCCTGTCTCCCTGCCCGTGGGTTTCCCCTTTGCGTCCCACCGAGGGTCAGGCTCTGGAAGACCTTGGCCAGTCTGGGTGGTGCAGGCCTGTCACTCTACTATTTCTTTGTATTCTCCATTCTGCCCTGAAATATTCTGACCAACAGGGATGGACTTTTTTCAAGGCCCGCGATTCTGAGGAATTTGCCCATCCTCGTCCTCCCAAACTGCCCCACGTGTCTGGCATCTCTTTCGAAGGCAGCTAGTGGAATAGTCAGGCTGCGGGGGCTAGAGCGTGCGGTCTGGGAAAGGGTGAGGGAGAGCAGTCAGGTGCTTTGGGCTCAGGACAAAGCAGCAGGGAGCTGTGGTTGGCCCTCTCCTCCTGCCTGCCGTGTGGTGGAGTCTGTAAGCCCCAGTTCACCACGCGGCATGCTGCGTATTTGCATCTTTTCTCCCAGATCCATTCTCTGTGGCACTTCTGTCCTGTTCTGTACTGCAGGGAAATGCATTTCCCAGCCTTCCGTCTCACTCACCTTCCGTTACCTTGACCTGCAAGGCCCTCTACCTCCCCTACTGGCCTTTTGGCTATTTCTGGAACATAACAGCTAACTCCTGCCACAGACCCTGGCACTTGCTGCCCCTAGGCCTGGAACCTTGTCCCCCAGATACGTACATGGCCAGTTCTCTCACTTCTTTCAGGTTTTAATTCAAAGTCACTTTCTCAGGGGCTTTCACTTTCTCTTCCTGGGCCACACTATCTAACACGTCACTCCCCACCCCACCCCCTGCCTCTAGACACTTTCTTTATTTCTCCTTAGTACTTACCATCGAAGAACATACTACAGCCTACATTTTATCTTATTATTGTCTGCTCACCCACTAGAACGTTGACTCCCGGCAGTGGTTTGTCCCTGTCTCATCATCATTACCGGATCCCCAGAGGTTAGAACATTACTGGCACACAGCAGGCATTGTATAAAATTTGTTTAATTAGGAATATATGATGGCATTTTTTTGTCATAGCAGGAAGTGGATGATGACCTGGTATCCATCTTGGGGGAAAGAAAAGTAAAATGGGTGCGTGCCTGCTATGAAACTGTTTGCAGCAGTTAGAATCAAGGCTGAATGGCCCACAGCAGTATGGCAGACCATAAAGTCACAGTGCTGAGAGAAAAACTTACATGCAAAATTAGGAAACAACTACACATTTTACAAGGATACATACAAGTTCAAGACACATATCCAATGCATTAGAGGTGGGGTGGGAGTAGGGACTATGGATAAAAGAAAATTGTAAATTAAGACCAAAATAAAGCAAGAAAAGAGTCTGTGCCCTCCATGCAGATAGAGGGCAGTGAATGGAGATTAGCCCTGTACTTATTATTTTTAATAAGAAACTGTTTTTTATGAGTATCCAGAACAGGCTTCAAATATGTTTATTTTATTCTGAGAAGTACTAAAGTAATTTTAAACAGCTATATTAGGCATAATTGACATACAGTAAATTGGACATATGAGGTTGGACAATTAAGTTTGCGAACTCATCCTAGAAAAAGTGCTACATACCTCATTGCTGAATATCACTACGGTCGCCTTCCAAGCACTCCCCCTGGGAAGCTAGGCACCGACGCCAGCACCTACTCCACCCTTCAAAGCAATTTTAGAACTCTTTTTCTGAAATGGCCATCAGAGCTGCCATCATATTATCCTTGATGTCCTGAGCATCATCAAAATGTCTTCCTTTCAATATTTCCTTTCTCTTCTGGTAAAGAAAGAAGTCATTGGGTGCCAGATCAGGTGAGTAGGGAGGGTGTCCCAATACAGTTTTTTGTTTACTGGCTAAAAACTCCCTCACAGACAGTGCCATGTGAGCTGGTGCATTGTTGTGATGCAAGAGCCACGAATTGTTGGTGAGAAAAGTTCAGGTCATCTAACTTTTTCACGCAGCCTTTTCACACTTCCAAATAGTAAAGTTGGTTAAGTGTTTGTCCAGTTGGTACAAATTCATAATGAAGAATCCCTCTGATATAAAAAAAAGGTTAGCAACATCGTTGCAACAAGTTCAAACTTAATTGTCAGACCTTGTATTTAAAATGTACAGGTTGTTAAGTTTTGACACATGTATAGACCTGTGAAACCATCCTCACAATCGAGGGCTGACTTACACACTAGGCATACACCTATGGAAATGTTTTAAATTCAAAGTGCTTTATTTTTTAAAAATTCTTTTAAATTCAAAGAAAAGAATGACCTTTTGTATCAAAGAAAATATTTTATATTATATTATTACATTCATCTTTATACCAATGCAGCTATAAAATAATTTCTATTAATCTATTTAAAAAGATTTTTAATATGAAAATGTTTTTATATGACAGAAGGGGCCCATGAAGGTCAAAGTGCCTGGAGCCAATGAAAGTCCTAATGCAGTCCTGGCACAGTTCTGATAATGAACATGTCCATCACATCCCAAAACTTTTCTTTGGGCCCCTTTCTAACCCTTACCACCTGCCAAGCAACGTTCGATCTGCTTCCTGTCATTTTAGTTTCCATTTTCTAGAATTTTAAATGGAGTCATGTAGCACTCTTTTGGTTGGGCTTCTTCCACTCAGCATAATTATCTTGAGATTCATGTTTCACGTATCAATACTTTGTCGTCCCCCCCCCCCCAGTAGTATCCCATTGTATGGATGTACCACAATATTGATTGACACCTGGGTTGCTTCCAGCCTGGCTAGGAAGCTGCCATTCACACTAGCGTGCAGGTTGTTGCATGGGCATCTGCTTTATTTACTTTGTCTCGGTAAATACTTGCCAATAGCATGTGGCTGAGTCCTGTGGTCGTTTGCCTGTTAAAGGAAGGGCTGGCCTGTTCCCATAGTTGCCACAGGGGCTGTGCCGTCTTGCGTCCCCACCAGCAGGGCGGGAGTCCTGGGCAGCCCGGTGTGATACACGTGTCCTGACGCCTCACTTTCTAATCTGCATCTCCCTAAAGGTTCGTGCTGTCGAGCATCTTTTCATGTGATTATTTACTACCCGTCTTTCTTCTTTGGGGAAGTATCTATTCAAACTGTTGGCCCGTTTGGGAGGGGGCGGGTTGTGACAATAACTTTTTAATGGAAAGAAAATATGCGTCGTTTCCGCCTGATTTATAACCAGGTTCCCTGCGGGGACAGAGGCGAGGTGGGAGGAGCAAGTGTCCATTTGGGCGGCACCTGGGCTGCGGGAAGGC